TAGAAAATACAGGAAGGAATCATGACCTCCTGCGGAGCTCAGCCTGGATTCCAGTCTAGCAGAGGGTGTGCCCTGGGGATACTGGGTAAGATTCTGGGACCAATATCAGCGTGTGGGTCCCTCTCCCCAGCCCCCCCCTCCCCAGGCCACCAAGCAATGCTCTGATACCAGCACGGTGTCCAATTCAACTCAATTCTGACTCTACCTAGCTGGAGGTAGCATCAGATACCAAAGGTTAAGGGCTGAGTCCTACAAGACTGCCCCCCTCCACCTCCTACCCCATTTCAGACGCCAATTGCAAATCCAGGTCTTCATGTGCTTCTGACTCACGGGCTCTAGATCAGTGGTTTCGAAGACCCCCTCCTCAGGTTTGATTTGTTTTATATATAAATTTATTTGTTTTTATTTTTGGCTGTGTTGGGTCTCCGTTGCTGTGTGCGGGGCTTTCTCTGGTTGCGGCGAGCGGGGGCTACTCTTCGTTGTGGTGCGCAGGCTTCTCATTGCAGTGGCTTCTCTTGTTGTGGAGCACGGGCTCTAGGCACGCGAGCTTCAGTAGTTGCAGCACGCAGACTCAGTAGTTGTGGCTCATGGACTCTAGAGTGCAGGCTCAGTAGTTGTGGCTCGCGGGCTTTATAGCGCAGGCTCAGTAGATGTGGCGCACGGGCTTAGTTGCTCCGTGGCATGTGGGATCTTCCTGGGCCAGGGATTGAACCTGTGTCTCATGCATTGGCAGGCAGATTCTTAACCACTGCACTGCCAGGGAAGCCCCTCTCAGGTTTGATTAATTGGCTAGAGTGGCTCACAGAACTCAGAGGAACATATTACTTATTAGATAACCAGTTTGTTATAAAAAATATAACTCAGGAACAGACAGATGGAAGAGATGCCCAGGGCAAGGCATGGGGAAGGGGCCAGGAGCTTCCATGTCCTCTCCAAAAGCACCACTCTCCCCAAATCTCCACGTGCTCATCAACCCAGAAGCTCTCAGAACCCTGTCCTTTGGGATTTTTTATGGAGGCTTTATTACAGAGTCACAATTATTAAGTCATTGGCCATTGGTGACTGATTCAACCTCCAGCCCCTCTCCCTTCCCCAGTGGCCAGAGGGTGGGACTGAAAGTTCCAACCCTCTAAACACCTGGTTAGTTGTCCTGGTAACCAGGCCCCAACCATAGGTGAGGTCCCAATGTAGCCTCATTAACAAAACAAAAGACACTTACTCACTCTGGTCAATTAGAAAATTCCAAAAGTTTTAGGAGCTCTGTGCCAGAAATGGGATTGAAGACCAAATGTATATTTCTTCCTATAAATCACAGCATCACTTGATACACACAGTGGTCCCTTGGAATCCACAGGTGGTTTGTTCCAGGACCCCCATGGATACCCAAATTTGAGGATGCTCATGTCCCTTATTCAAAATGGTGTAGTATTTGTATATAACCCACATGTATCACATCCTCCTGTATACTTTAAGTCGTCGTTAAATTGTTTATACTGCCTAATACAATGTAAATGCTATATAACTAGTTGCCAGCACGTGGCAAATTCAAGTTTTGCTTTTTGGAACTTTCCAGATTTTTTTCCCTGAATATTTTTGATCTGTGGGTGGTTGAATTCCAGGATTCAGAACGGCAGATACAGAGGGTTGACTGTACAGCATTTCAACGGTTTTTGTTAATTCCAAATTACTTGCCAAACCTTATAAACAGGAGCGTTCATATAAAAACTCAGACTTTGGGATTTCTCTTGAAAACTCAGGCACTTTGACAACATGGGACCCACGTTCTTACGTGGAGACAATGGGCTGGAACTAAATCCTGGGAGGTAAGATTTGAGTAAAGACCACAGTCCCTACCATCAGAGAAGCAAGAGCCGCATTTGCCAAACTCATCATTCACACTTTCTGCCCTATTTATTTTTTCAGGTGTAATTTGCATGTAATCAAATGCGCAAATCTTATTCAGTCCAATGGATCTGAACAGTGGTATATACCCATATAGTTACCACCTAAGTTAAGATATGGAAATTTTCCTCTCTCCAGAAAATGCTTTCAACTCTCTTGACTTCTATCACCATAGATTCATCTTTCCCATTCTTGAACTTCACATAAATGGATCATAAGGTGTGTACTTCCTTGCATCTGGCATAATTCTGAGATTCATGCATGGCGTTATGTGTCGCTAGTTTGTCCTACTGAAAACAAATGTGGTTTTCCATGGAGTTTTGCTACCCAAAAACTGGGTTTGTTGCAGGAAGCGGGACCCCTTCCAGGGCCTGAGAGTGGGCTCTAGTCTAAGACTCAGAAATGAACTGTCCAAGGAGACACACATGCTGACAAATCAAGAGACTTTTTATTGGGAAGGGGCCCCCGGGTGGAGAGCAGGAGGCTAAGGGAACCCGGGAGAACTGCTCTGCCATGTGGCTCACAGTCTCGGGTTTTATGGTGATGGGGTTAGTTGCTGGGTGGTCTCTGGCCAATCGTTCTGACTCAGGGTCCTTCCTGGTGACACGAGCATCGCTCAGCCAAGCTGGATTCCAACGAGAAGGATTCTGGGAGGTTGGTAGGACATATGGACTGGTGTCTCCTCTCTCCTTTTGACCTTTCCCAAATTCTTCCAGTTGGTGGTAGCTTGTTAGTTCTGCGTTCCTTACCGGGACCTCCTGTTGTAAGATAACACATGCAAGTGGCTACTATCAGGCCTGGCCAGGGCGGGCTGTTTCAGTCACTCATTCCCCTAACGGGTTTGCAGCTTAATGGTGTCAGTAGACACAACCAAGCCTAATATCGGAAGAAGGAAGGATTTATTATTACTTGAAGCAAGTAGGGAGAACACCGGGGATCCTTCCCAAAGCGGTGTTTCCCAGAACAGCAAAATTGGGGAAGTTTTAAGGGAAGGGTACATGCATCTTCATGAGGGGACTTGAACAGAGGAGAATTCAGCATAGAATTGGGACAAACGTCAACAGAGTCCAAGCTTTAGTTGATTGAAGTTAAGAGGGTCGCATCATCCTTCCATCCTCCAACAGTCTGGGGGCCTCAGTTCCTGCAGAACTCAAAGGTATATTATCATGTATATTCCTTGAGGAACCAGGACCCTGCCTTATCACAGCACCATTGTTTGACTGCCTTTTTTCTCTTCCTGCATTCCTTTGTTCCCTTAAGATCATTAAATACTGTGTTCAAGGGTAAGCATTGTGGCCAGGTGTAGATCACAAAACGTCCTCGGCCAAAATGGGTTCTCTTATGTCAAGAAAGCCATGCCTGGTTCTCTTTCTCCAGGGACCCCCTAACCCATCTGCTTACAGTATGAAGACATCACGGTTTGTCCATTTATCTGTTCATGGACATTGGGTTGTTTCCCCCTTGGGGCTATTGTGAGCAAAGCTGCTAGGAACATGTGTGTAAAGTCTTTGTGGAACCTATGTTTTCATTTCTTTTGATAAATACCTAAGAGTGGAATTGCTGGCCCATAAGGTAGGGGTATGTTAACTTTATAAGAAACTTCCAAAACATTCTCCAAAGTGGTTGCACCATGTTCTCTCCTATTCTTTACAGCACTAGGAGAGGGCCAAAAAAGCCTGACAATCAGAGAAAGTGTGGGAGGTGACATGCCAGTGACCAGTGGGCCACAGTCAGCCCTCACAGATGAATAATCATGAGGCTCAAAAATTCTGGACTTCCCGTTTTTCTAGGACAACTGGAAGGTCTGGCCCACTGGGCCTGTGTTCCCCCAGCTGGAGCTGAGTCATGGCTGGGATGTAGCTCTCCTGTCTGCCACAGCCGTATCTGGCCCACCTCTCTCATCTGTGTGCGTTTGTCTGTAGCACCGTGACCGTGCCCGTGGTCCCCCAGACATGCCCCCAAGAAATCAGGACTGGACCCCAGGTTGGTGGAGCAATGCATCTTCTGCCTTCCTAGTGTTGAGTCCTCCGCTGCAGATCACAGGCTCAGGCCGTGCATTCCCTGGCTCTCTGTCCGCCCATCCCCTTTCTCCAAATTCTAGCTGTTCCTTCTGTCCATCTGTCGCCCCAGGCAGGCCACCACCTTGCAGGCCCCAGTTCATGCTGACATCAGTCCAACTGCTGAGTATCTGTGCATCCAGGGTGCCCTCTGTCCAGTGGGATGTGTCTCTAAGCCACACCCACTGGCCCTGTAGCGTTCTAGAATGAAACGCCCAGGGTTCAAATCCTGGTTCTGCCACTCACAGCTGGTGACTTGGGCAAGTTACTCACCCTTCTCTACCTCTGTCTTTTCATCAGTAAAGTGGACATAATAATAAGATCTGTCCCGGAGGCTTGTTGGAAAGACCAAGTGAGCAGAGACATGGAAACATTTAGAATAGAACCAGGAGTATATTGATTCTCACCATGCTTTCTGATCTACTCGGTGCCAGGGGCTGCCCCCACCCAGGGCCAGGGCAGGTCAAGGGAAGGAGAGAGGTGGGCTGGAGGTGGGGTCTGTGGTGGACGGGGGAGGGATGGCCATGCCTCTGCTCTAGCCAGTGGCCGTCCTGTGTCCATGTGGGCCTGGTCTGGCCAGATCTTCAGATTGTTCTAGTAAAGTGGGAAATTCAGAGCGTTATTCAGTCTCTCGTTTTGCAAAGGCTAGTAGCTATCTTTTTTATTTTTTTTCCTTTTTTAAAATTTTGAATGCTCTGAGCATCCAGTGCAAGTCTTCTGCTGTCCCCCACCGCCTGTCCTGGTGTTGTGGGCTGGACGTGGGCCCCCGGCCACGGCTCGGTCACTCCTGACAACTCCTCTGGGCTCCAGGCGCCTGTCTTTGTCCTGCCTTGGTCTGGAGAGCGCACGGAAAAGGAGCCGAACAAAGGTGGTCACTGTTGCTGCTGCAGCAGCGGTAGGGCCGCGGCAAGTGCCCTCCTGGGACTTTCCTCTGTCCCCATCCTCCCCTGCCAGTGTCTCCCCTCCCCCCCACTCCAGCTCGTCCCAAGCCCGCCCGTCCCCAGCGCGGAGGCGGGCCAGTGGCACAGTGGGTGAGTGGAGCAGGACGGTGCCCTGGGCTGCAACAGCTCCCCTCCCCTTCCCAGCCATGGGCCCCTCACCAGGTGAGGAGGGAGGCCATGTGGGCGGGGCTCAGGTCAGCCCATCTTCCCTGCAGGGGCCTGCTCAGAGTTCAAGTTCAAGTTCAGGGTTCAGGGCTGGCCCGGGACCTCTCCTTTGCCCCAGGAGATCATTACGCTTTCTCTAAGCCCTGCTGTAGCCCAGGCTGGAATTTGGATTTTGACCTGCAAGGAGCCTCTTAGCAGGCGGTGCTGGAGGGAGGGCCACTGCCATTCTTCCAAACTCTGGCTGCGAGGGAAAAGGAGCCCAGTTTCTCCCTCCTCACAGCCACCTCTCTCTCCATCTGCCTCAGACGCCACCGACAGGACCCAGGGCAGGTGGGCCCTGCATCCAGTGGAAGGTAAGACTCCCTACTCCCAGCCCCGCAAACTGATATCCATTCTGCAAACTGCGGAAGCTGGTCTGGGGACCGGAGGCAGTGCTGGCAGGAAGGAAGGGGTGAGGGGTGCACAGCTCCTCTCCTCGGGAGAGGGCTTGTCGAGGCAAACGGAGTGTGTTTGGCGGTGTGGGTACAGCCAGCGCACCAGGCATGCGAGGCTCGCAGCGCCTCCACTTAACCGAGTTCACAGACGTGGAGCTATCATTTCACCTCACTTAGCCTCTGGTTCCTTATCTGTCAAATGAGAACGTGAACCTCAGCACAGCCCAGCCCACAGGTGTGGTGGACTCACGAGGACCCAAGAGATAAGCAGGTGAAAAATACCTACAAAGAACAACAAAAGCCTGGGGGATGTGTGACTGCCAAGCAAAGCAAATATGCCAGACACGTGCTGAGAGCCTCCCATCCTGGGCCTGGTCTGGCTGGCCCAGCCACTGTAACTCACAGGCGGGGGCTGAGAGCCATTAAGAAACGTGCCCAAGCTTGCAAGATAGTGGGGAGGCAAAGCTGAGACCCAGCTCCCGCGGCCGGCCATGAGCTTATACACAAGGTCTGCTTTTCAAATGATGTCTTGATGACCGATTCCGGGGAAGCAACCAAGAGAGACGCCCTCCTCCAAAAGGGCATCCTGAGGATATGACTTTGGCTGTGGCGGGGTTTGGGGGTGTGTGTCACAATTGCAGGCTGAGAAAACTCCACATTTGTTTGCTATACAAGGGTTTATTGAGTGTCTGCTTTGAGGACACAACGTGAGTGAGACAGACAGGGTCCCTGCCTTCGCGGAGCTTACGGTAGAGTGGGAATGGGAGGTAATGAGAGAATCGTACAAATCAAATGTCCTGCTTGATTCAACGGTTATGGGAAGTCATGTTTGCTATGATGGCAAATCATTTAGGGATCCAACTTAGATTGAAGCCAAGGGAAGACTCCTCTGGGGCTGTGACAGTAGGGTGCCATCTGAAGGATGAGTACGAGTTCGTCTAGCCAAGAGTGCAGGGAAGAGCGTTGCAGGCAAGGGCGGGTGGGATGGGCGGAATGGCAAAGACCCTGAGGCAGAACTAGTGCTCAGGGATAGAAATAAGAGCAGGGTGAGATGGGGCTGGGGCCACAGCAGAGCACATCAACAGGCCCTGATTCTTTGAGCAGGAAAAGGAACTGATCTGATTTATGTTCAAAGATCTCTCTGACTTCCATGTAAGGGGAGTGGATTCCAAGGAAGCAAGAGTGTCATTGGGAAGGCAAGATGGGAGATTCTTCCAGTGATGGTGGCTTGAACGAAAGCAATAAAAGTAAAGGTGAGGGGAAATGCATAGATTGCAGCTCTGCTTTAGAAGTAGAACAGAATGGGATTAGAGGTCAATAGATTCCGGGAGTTGAGCAAGAGACACCATAATGTCTTTGATGGTATGTTTGCGAGCCCCGGCATCCTTGGTGCTTAGACATGGTGGCCAGCACGTAGGAGGTGCTCACAGACCACTGCATGAGTGAATGAATGAATGAATGCATGAATGCAAGACCTAAGGATGACTCTCGGGTTTCTGGCCTGAGCAGCAGGGTAGATGAAGTTGCCATTTAGTGAGAAGGGAAAGACTGGCTGCTCTTGAAGATTGTGGTCTCCGAGTTGGATGTATTACGTTTGAGATGCCGACTGGGCATCCGTGAGAGATTCCACGCCGGCATTTGGATGGACAGGTCTGGGGCTCAGAAGGTGTTCTTGTGACATCTATTCTCTCTAGGAATCAAGAGACAAGGTTGTCACTGAAAGGGGGAGGCGGGTGGAGGAGAAACCTCACCTGGCTCCCTGGTACTCACACCTGCTAACCTCCTGAGCCAGACCCTACCGTGCCCATTGTTTCCTTCCTAGTGACCGGAGAGGTGGCTCTTTCTAACAGGCTGGGGAGAGTCCCAGCCTCTGCTTCAGCACAGAGACCCCTGGAATCTGTCCTCTGGCCCTTTTTTCTAGAGACCCATTCCTAATGAACCACATAGCATCAGCCGGTTGAGCAGGCCAGAGGTGGTCCTCCTGTGGCCCTCGCTTCTGCAGTTTTAGGCTCTGACAGCTCTGCTCAGCCTGACAGAACTGACCCCCTCCCTCTGATTGGGCTCCGTCTACCACCAGCCTCTCTGGGCATCTTGGACTTGAGCCAAAGGCCAGGTTTGTGGCTGAGGAAGGAGGCAGTTACCTCCACAAAGGAGTGGAAGGAAAGGGTGTGAGTGTCTGCCGGCCCTGTGCAGGTCCTTGTTGTCACCTCTGGAATTTTCCCTGCCAAGGGCGCACGTGCCGAGCAGTGGTTAGGAACTTGCAGGTCAAGCCCCGGTTGGAAGCCCCGGTTCAGTCATTTACCAGTGGCGTGACCTTGGGGCCCCAGCTTGGGCTTTGTTTTCCCCACCTGTTCAGTGGGGTTAACCAGAGACCTGACCTCTTAGGGGTGCGGTGTGCTTAAAGTGAGATTCACACACGTAGGGGCCAGGGTCTGTGTGACCACAAAGTCCATGCTCTTTTTCTTTCTTCCTCCAAGAAGGATGGAGTCAGACCAAGTATTCTGGACCTGATCACGTTCTATAACGAACTCGATTAATGCTTTTAGCGAAACTGTGACATAGGTCTGATTAATATCCCCATTTTATAGATGGGAAAACTGAGCCTCAGAGAGCTTATTTGCCCAAGATCACGGAGCTAGTAAGTGGCAGAGCTGGGATTTGAACCGGGCAATGCAGTGCTAACATCTTTACACTTGATCGCAGTGCATCTATTTCCCAGGGAGTTTTTGCCTGTAATTAAACTTTGTAATTAGATGGTCATTGTCATCTTTAGCCAGTGCAGACTCCTTCCCTGGTTTTTCTCTCTGTCTCTTTCATTTTCTGTCCCTGCTAACGTGTTTGCTGTTCTTCAGCAAATAGGCCTGCATCCTGGCAAAATAGTTGGTACTATTTTCTGTCTCAGAATGTATTTAATATACACATATGGTTTTATGCTGTAAATCTTTATCCGCTTGTTCCTTTTTCTTCGATCATGAAATGTTTCAGATGCACACATGTTGTAGAGGATACTGTAGCCCCACCAGCGCACACACACGCAGGAGACGGCCTCAGCAACCGAACGCAGGGAATACAGTCAGCCCCTCACCTTGCTGTGGATGTGCTTCCCCATCCCTGCCTCTCACTGGGGAAAAGTTCCACATCTGCTCTGGCAAATTATGTAAGCGGCTGAAAGGAAAGGGGTGAGCAGCCGTCTCTGCTTGCTGAGTTTCCTGTGTTCCTTAGCCAATGGGCAACGGCAAGGGTAAGGTGTTCTTGCAAACAGGGCCGTTGTTACAACGCCCGCTTTACCTAGACTCCTGTCAACCCTGGCCTCCCACAGGGGAGGGTCCCTCCCAGTAGGTGAAGCCCTCCCGGGGCAGTGCAACTGGTGGCTTTGGGCACACAAGGAGCTGCAAGGGGCTGAGTGAGATCTCTCAAGGATGGGGGGGCCACATCCACAGTAATCACCACTTTGTCCTCCATGCCTAGCACAGAGCCTGGCACACAGCCGGTGCCTAATAAATGTTTGTGGAAAAGAAACAAGTAGAGGGAGGGAAGGACTGAAGGAGGGGAGGAGAGAAAGAAGGAGAGAAGGGCAGGAAGAAGGGAGGAAAAAGAGACATACCAGCTAGTATTGGATAACAATGAGCTTCGGTTCAGGACCTGGGTTCAAATCCCACCTCTGACACTTAGTGTGACCCAGAGGCCAGTGGCACAGCCAGGACCTGAACCCAGCTCACTGTCACTTCTTGGTGGCTCCATTTCCCACCTGTAAAATGGAGGTATAATGTGTTTGTCTCACTGGGCTGACAAGGATGCGATAAGAGGACCAATGTAAAGCGAGCTCCTGGCTTGGCACATCAATAACTAGTGCTCACTAAGCTTTAGAGATGATCCCTGTTACGGTGACAGCGTGACTTTACTGAACGAGGGCACGTGGAGGGCTCCGCCTGGGAGCACGTGGCCGAGGCAGCAGCACTTGGGTTCCACAGCTTCTCTGGCCTGTTGTCCGAGCTCCTACTCCCACCCTGAAGACACAGCCTGTCCCTCCTGGCCGCCGGCAGGTCCCCCCCCCCCCACTCCCTGGGACTCAGGAAGAGCCTGGAGTTGGTGCCAGCCTGCCCGGAGCGGGTGATGAATGACTTGTTTATCTGCTCCCGCCCCTCTCGGTGCCTGGCAGGCAGAGGCCTGGAAGGGGCGGCTGGGAGCTGGGCTGGACACGGGGGAGGGAGTGTCACCAGGCTTTCTGCTGCCCTTCCTCCTTCCTTCCTCCCCTTCCTCCCTTTCAGACCTGTGGGGTTCTAGAACAAGCTGCCCCACTCCCCAATTCAACATCTTAATTCAACACCTTAAACTGCTTCCTCCGGTCCTAGGCCTCATCCTCCCCAAGTCCCCTGTTTTGGAAGCAGCAAAGTACTTCAAAGCAGTTGAACTGTTTGAAAATGCAGCCTCCGAACCCTCCTACGCTGTTGGTGGGAATGTAAACTGGTGCAGCCGCTGTGGAGAACAGTATGCAGGTTCCCCCAAAACTAAAAATGGAGTTACCATGTGATCCAGCAATCCCACTCCTGGGCGTATATTCAGAGAAAACTCTAATTCGAAAAGATACGATGCACCCCAGTGTTCATAGCAGCACTGTTTACAATAGCTAAGACATGGAAGCACCTAATTGTCCATCAGCAGAGGAGTGGATAAGGAAATGGTACATATATACAATGGAGTATTACTCAGCCATAAAAAAGAACGAAATGAAGCCATTTGCAGCAACACGGATGGACCTAGAGATGATCATACTAAGTGAAGTAAGTTGGAGAAAGACAAATATCGTATGACATCACGTATATGTGGAATCTAAAACGATGATACGAATGAACTTATATACGAAACAGAAATAGACTCACAGACATAGAAAACAAACATATGGTTACCAAAGGGGAAAGGGAAGAGAGAAATTAGGAGTCTGGGATTAACAGATACACACTACTATATATAAAATAGATAAACAACAAGGACCTGTTGTATAGGACAGGGAAGTATATTCAATATCTTGTAATGACCTCTAATGGAAAAGAATCTGAAAAAGGATATATATATATATATATATATATATATATATATATACATATATAAATCACTTTGTTTTTTACAAAAAACAAACACAATATTTTAAATAAACTATACTTTAATAATTTTTTTTTTTGGGGGGTACGCGGGCCTCTCACTGTTGTGGCCCCTCCCGTTGCGGAGCACAGGCTCGGGACGCACAGGCTCAGCGGCCATGGCTCACGGGCCCAGCCACTCCGTGGCATGTGAGATCTTCCCGGACCGGAGCACAAACCCGTGTCCCCTGCATCGGCAGGCGGACTCTCAACCACTGCGCCACCAGGGAAGCCTTTTAATAATTTTTTAAAAATCATGGCAAAAAAAGAAAGAAAATGCAGGCTCTGAAATCAGACAGATCTGGATTTGAGTCCGGCCTTGGGCACTCAGTCATGTGACACCACTTCCTTGGCTGTGGAATAGCAATAAGAACACTACCTACCTAACAGGCGCTTCACCCCTGAGTCAGCCTTAAGGACCATCTACCCTGTCCTCCCCAAGCCTCCAGAATCAGTCTCCTGGTTAGACCCTCATTTATTAACCTCTACTTCCACCCTAGGGAGGGTCTCCAGCACCAGTCTTCCCTTTCTACTTTCCCCCTACAAGTTCTCTGGTTCATTTAGGTTATTACCATCCCATTGGACAGACAACAATGATCATAACACCTAAGCTTGACTGAGGCAGGGAGGGCTGAGGGGTGATCTGAGGTAGAATTGGGGCTTCCACTACGCACTCCTGCATTCGAGTGGGGTAAGTGAGTTGGGTTTGCCTGATACTGGCAAGTCTATATTCCCTCCTTCCCTCCTTACCTCCTTCTCCTGTCTGTTCATCTTTGGATGAGAGCTATGGATCAGTGATTGCTTGAGTCTTCTCACAGGTCTGAGAAGCTGTGAGCATCCTCTGTACTTGGCGTGAGAAGGGACGTTAAAAGTTATTGAGCGCCCCCCTGAGGCATCTTCTCTAAGTGACTGTCCAATCTTCTAGGGCTCAAAGGCAGTGGTTCTCAACCCAGGGGACACTTGTGGCTCTCACAACTGTGGGAAGGGTGCTACTGGCATCTAGTGGGTAGCTACCAGGGATGCTGCTAAACATCCTACAATGCACAAGACAGCTCTCTATAATAAAGAATTATGTGATCTAAAATGCCAATAGTATTGCAGATGAAAAACTCTGCTTTAAGAACAAGGAACATCCTGCCCAGGTGACCAGGCCATTCTGTCTTTGGGCAGCTCTGATTAGAAGTAGGAAACTATCCCCAGTTCTCCCCCTCTCTCTCGCTTACCCTGTTAATTAATCTCCAGGTCCTACCGATTCTAACCCAAATTATTTCTCTAATGCACTTTCTCTCACCCTCCATATACTTCATCTCAAGTCTGGGTTATTTCAAAATACCCTTCCCGCCCACCTTTTTTGCTTGCAGTCAAGCCTCTCCTGCCCTGCACCACTTCCACCACCTTGTTCAAAATTCTTCAGTAGCATTTCTTAACCTAGAGCAGAGGGGTGCCACAGAGGCATTGCTGCTTAGCGGGAGATGTTTTGAAAATTTATCAGATATTTTTGGTTGTCACAATGACTTGGGGTACCATGGCTGGGTGGAGACCAGAGGTGCTAGACACCTTGAAATTCACAGAACTTCCCCAAGCAACCAGGACTTTCAGATGTCCCACCTGACCTTCATGCAGGCGAAAAACATGCTTACAATTATCCGAGAGTAGAGCCAGTTTGCACAAAACACAAAGTGTTGGCTGTTGTTTTTTTTTACATTCAAAAAATAGCACAGGGAACTATATTCAATACCTTATAATAACCTATAATGGAAAAGAAGCCGAAAAAGAATATTTATCACTTTGCTATACACCTGAAACTAGCACAACATTGTAAATTAACTTTACTTCATTTAAAAAAATGGTTTTAAAAAAATGTACCTGCTTTTTATTTTCACCAAGCTGTCTCTGATATTTCTCAGAGGGCTCTATCTTAAGTTAAAAGCATGGTATATCGTGGGAGTTGTTTGGACTTCTTCATAACATTTAAAATCACAAAGCATTTTTCACAAATTTAAACATTCTGGTGTTCCTCTGTAAATTCATGCTTTATTCTGTGCTTCTGGAATAGAATGGATTCCTATTTTCTTATTTCTCTTCAATTAAAAATTTATTCAGTATAATAGGTAAAGTGATCTGACTGTCCCTTTGAGTCTTGCAGTGGAGTCAGATGGAGCGGTTACATTTTGGATTATCCATCATTTTAATCGTAAATTGCTTCTATTTCTCTTTTATAATAGAGTTAGAGCACTGTATTGATTTTTAAAAAAATTATGTGTGTAGGTAGGTAACACTAACTATGAAGTTCATTTCCGTTTTCAGTAAAAGGAATATTACAAAATATTTGTTATAAAAACAGAGAATGGGGCTTCCCTGGTGGTGCAGTGGTTGGGAATCTACCTGCCAATGCAGGGGACACGGGTTTGAGCCCTGGTCCGGGAAGATCCCACATGCAACAGAGCAACTAAGCCCATGAGCCACGATTACTGAACCTGTGTGCTACAGCTACTGACGCCCACTCACCTAGAGCCCGTGCTCCACAGCAAGAGAAGCCACCGCAATGAGAAGCCCGCGCACCGCAACGAAGAATAGCCCCCGCTTGCCACAACTAGAGGAAGCCCGCGTGCAGCAACGAAGACCCAACGCAGTCAAAAATAAATTAATTAAATAAAATTTAAAATGCTCAATTAAAAATTTTAAAACATAAAAACGGGATGATATCTGAAGATGATGACAACTGATGTTATCTTTGAAAATTACTGACCTTACAGAATCCTTTGAATGACATCAAAGGGCTGGTAAAATGTCTTCATAGCATTATACGAGCCTCACTGCCCATCTCCCTCCTTCCAATCTTACTTAATACTCAGGCAAGAATCTGATGGTTCCTTAAGCATGACATGTTTTTTCACACCTCAATGTCTGTAGATACTGTTGTCTTGGCCTGGAATGCTCTCTCATACCCGCTTATGCTGTGTAGGACCACCCACTCATTCTTCAAAACCCAGCTCATATGCTACCATCTGGATTTCTCCATGTAAAATTAGGTGGTCCTTACCTCATTGCACATTGTAGAAAATTAGTAATATTAATAATAGCAGCTACAATTTACTGAACACAGCTGTGTGTGGCACTGTTCTTAACACTTCACAGGTACAAGCTCACAGCAATCTATGAAATGTAAACTCTTATTGCCCCATTTTGCAGATGGGAATGCTAAGGTTTTGAGAAGTTAGGGAATTTGTCCAAGTTCTCAGGATCGGTAAGTGGGGGAGCCAGCTTGATGACTCCTAATCTTGAATCCTTAATACCTCTACCTCTATGTACCTCCACTGTATGAAACATCACGTTGTGTTATTATCTGAGTGGGTTTACCCATTATTGGGGTGCACATCATAGAGGGCAGGACTGAGTTTTTCATTCCTGAACCCCTAGAGCCTGACACCTCCAGAGTGGAGTCATCTTAACACAGAAGTAAGTCAAAGCCCAAATCGCTTATAGTAAAAAAATTACCCTTGAGAATTGTATTAGTTTCCAATTGCTGCTGTAACAAATTACCACAAACTTAGTGGCTTCAAACAACACAAGTTCATTATCTTACAGTTCTGGAAGTCAGAAGTTCTCAATGGGTCTTACTGCACTAAAGTCAAGATGAGAGTAGGGCTCACTTCCTTCTGGATGCTCTAGGGGAGAATCCATTAATTTGCTTAGCTTCTAGAAGTCACCTGCATTCCTTGGCTCATGGCCCCATTACCCCATTATCAAAGCCGGCAACATCACGCCAAATCCTTCTCACACTCTCATCTCTCTGGTTCTCTCATCTAATCTCCTCTTCCACTTTTAGGGACCCTAGTGATTGCATTAGTCCTACTCAGATAAGCTCCCTATTTAAAGGGAAGCTGACTAGCAACCTTAATTACAACTGCAAATGTAATTCTCCTTTGTCATATAGCGTAACACATTCACAGGCTCTGGGGATTAGGATGTAAACATCTTTGAGGGGGACATGATTCTACCCACCACAGGAATCCCTTAAATTGCCCAAGGAAGTGCAATATACTGAGAAATACCTTAAGATACTGGTTCAAAACATGGATTCTGGAGCAAGATTATTAGCCTTCAAATCCCAGCTCTACCACTTGAACTGTGTTACCTTAGGCAAGTTAGTTAACTTCTCTGTGCCTCAATTTTGCCAGCTGTAAGATGGTATGATAGCAACAGTGCCCACTTCGCAGGTTTATAAACACTTAGGATGATGCCTGGCATGTAGTAAGTACTATATAAGTGTTTATTAAATATATGCATTTTTATGGGCATATCCAGCAGTGAAACAAGATTGTATTGACTCACGGAGCCTCTGACAAAATTGCTGGCTTGACTTTCACCCAGCAGTGAGGTACCTGGGGAACAGAGACTGACGCAGGTGTCTTGTTTTTCTCTCACTCCCGGGTATGTGGAAGAGGGTGGTGAAACATCTGTACTACTTAAATTGTGTATTCTTCTTCGTATTTTGCCAAGTGAGTGGTTGGATTGGTAAACATTAACTGTAGATTTGACGTGACTTCCTTGTAAATGTTTGCTGAGCGAGTGAGTGGGTGGATGCATCTGCCTTCCCGAGGTTGTTTCCTCCACGTGTGTCCTCTTGCTTGGATGTCCCAAGGAGGCAGCCACGGAAAGGGTGAGAAGAGTGGCACCAGGTCCTGGCATCTGACACACATTTGCGCTTCCACAGGGGTGAGAGAGTTCATTCAGGACCATGGAGAGCAGCCCCAGCAGCCCTCAGCCCCCGCGGTCAGATCCCCTGGAGGCATTTCCCCAGAGGACTCTGGAACCAGGTGACATCGCAGTGCTGGTTCTGTACTTCCTCTTTGTCCTGGCCGTTGGACTATGGGTAAGCCAGGTCAGGGGGAGGGAAAGTGGCTGGGGTGTGGTGAGATACTAGCTCAAGGTCACACAGTAATCAGAACTTTTATTATTTTTATTTCTGGCCGTGCCACACGGCATGCGGGTTCTTAGTTCCCCGACCAGGGATCGAACCCGTGCCTCCTATAGTGGAAGCGCAGAGTCCTAGCCACTGGACCGCCAGGAAATTTCCTAATCAGAACTTTAATATTTAAAGAATGCGTTGAGTATCAACTGTGTGTCAAGTACCTTGTTAGGCACTTTCATTCATGTTATCTCATGTAATTTGCACAGGTCGCTATGAAGAAGGTACTATTGCTATACCCCATTTTATAGATAAGAAAACCAAGGCTCAAAGAATTTAAGTTCCTTATTCTGTTAGTAAGTTAGGAGAGCTGGGGTTAGAATCCATATCCTTCACTTTGAAGCCCATGCTCTTTAAAAAGTAGTTTTGTTTTTTTAAAGGCAGTGAAATAAAAACAACTTAAAATGACACACAGTGAAAAGTCTTACTACTACCCTTCCCTCCACAGGCAATCACTGTTATTAACTTTTTAGTACATTAGTGTATTCTTCCAGAGTTTCTTTAGGTAAATCCAAGCAAATATTAATGTGTATATTTCCCTCATTCTTAAATAGAAGGTAGCTTATTATACATACCGTTTTTTACTTTGATATGTTTCACTGATCAGTGTCTCCTGGATATCTTTTCATATCAGTATATGGACGCTTCTGCATCTTCTTAAAAGTTGACCAGTACTAACACACCATTGTAAAGCAATTATACTCCAATAAAGGTGTTGAAAAAAAAAGTTGCCCAGTATTCCATAGATGATCATACTGCAATTTATTTAACCTGTTTCTTGCTGAGGGTCATTTGGATTTTTCCCCATCTCTTAACACTAAAATTTATGCCGTAATGAACAAGTCTTGGACACATTATTTTGGATGTATACAACTATAATGTAGGATAAATTCCCTGTAGTGGAATCGTCAGGTTAAAGGGTATATGTATTTGTAATTATGATAGCTTGTGTCAAATTGCCCTCCTTAGGTTTAGTGCCAATCTGCACAAAATCATTAAATGTATGAAAGTCACATTATCACATCCACAGCAACACTGCATTGTCAAACATTTTCATTTTTGCCAAACTGACAGGGAAACACAATATCTCAATGTGCTATCTTATAATCAGTGAGGCTAAAATAAACATCCTTACATATGTTTAAGAACCACTTGTTTCCTTTATGTGAAGTATGGTTTCATTTTTTTTTTCCATTTTCATTAAGTTCTTGCTCTTGTTCTTATCAATTTCTAGGAATGCTTTACATGTTAAAGAGACAGTAACTTTGGGATAAAGGATAGTGCAGAGGAGGTGCTGCTATCTGATTTTCAGGTCAAATGACTTGAAAACTGTAGCCTACTGAGGTGTCCCCACTTCAGTTTGACTACTTGTAGATCATTTCTCTACTCTTACCCCTTAGCTTTCCCTGCTCCAGATCAATCAGGGGATAAAAGTACTGGCCATCCCAAAGACCATGGATCTGATATTGAGATGGGTGAGATGTTGTTAAGGGTCAGGGCTTTTAGTTATCTATCTATTTATTTATTTATTTATTTATCTATTTATTTATTTATTTATTGTCACGCTGCATGGCTTGCGGGATCTTAGTTCCCTGACCAGGGATCGAACCTGGGGCCCCGGCAGTGAAAGTGCCGAGTCCTAACCACTGGGCCGCCAGGGAATTCCCAAGAGTCAGGGCTTTTGATTCAGACAGGTTTGAGATCAGGATTAGGTGTAGGGGTAGAGTTAGGGTGAGGGTTAGAGTTCCTGAGAATCTATATTTTCACAAGAGAATTGGGAGACTCTGATGTATTACTAGTTTTTGAAGTCATGGATTTAGATGATCCCTTTTAGCACGAGGAGTTCTTTACTCTTGGAAAATACTTCCTGTGTCAGGGTTCAGCAGGAATGAGCCATAGTGTCTGTTTTCTATAGTAAGATCATTTGCAGGGATGAAAAGATATCATTTCATGTCATCTCCCATCCAGTAAGACTCCTCTCACCAACACCTGCACCCAGAGGCTGGGAGAAGTTAAACCACTTATCCAAGATCACAAATAGCTACTTAGTGGTTAAAATGTCTCTGTTAAAGCACCTTTAATGCCAGGAAGCTCACTCCTAAAGAGCTCTGAAATCAGGCTGACCTAGGTCTGAGTTCCCAGCCTTCTGCTCTGTAGAAATTTGGCACTACATACGTGACTATACTTCCAAGCCACAGTTTCTTCATCTGTTAAACTGGCTTGATGACACCAACCTCATAGGAGTTGGTGAGGATTAAAATGAGATGATGCTTCAAAATGCCTAGTATAGTGTCTGTCACATAGTACTGATACTCAATAAATGATATCCATTGTGAGCTATCTATAGCTCATCGTGGCTTGTCTATACAAGCCATGAGTCTAAAACTCAAATGCCTAGGGGGATCTAGTGGGTTATTATACATCTGTGAGGCAGGGAGTGGTAGGGGCTGTGTTGACCTGAAGAGTTTATGTCTCCTCTAAGGGCATTCAGATGAAAATCTTCTTAAAAACCATGGGTCAAACAAAATATATTTGATCTAAAAAATAAACAAACTAGTGAATATAACAAAAAAGAAGTAGAATCACAGATATAGAGAACAAACTAGTGGTTACCAGTGGGGCGAGGGAAGGGCGGGAGGAGCAATACAGGGGTAGGGTGTTAAGAGGTACAAACTATTATGCATAAAATAAGCTACAAGAATATATTGTACAGGGCTTCCCTGGTGGCGCAGTGGTTAAGAATCCACCTGCCAATGCAGAGGACACGGGTTCGAGCCCTGCTCTGGGAAGATCACACTTGCTGCGGAGCAACTAAGCCTGTGCGCCACAACTACTGAGCCTGCGCTCTAGAGCCCGCGAGCCACAAGTACTGAAGCCCGCGTGCCTAGAGCCCGTGCTCTGCAACAAGATAAGCACCCAGTGAGAAGCCCACACACCGCAATGAAGGATAGCCCCCGCTCGCTGCAACTAGAGAAAAGCCCACGTGCAGCAACAAAGACCCAATGCAGCCAAAAAAATAAATAAATAAATAAATAAATAAAAAAGAATATATTGTACAATAGAGGGATATAGCCAATATTTTATAACAACTAAAATGGAGTATAATCTTTAAAAATTTTGAATCACCATATTGTATAGCTGTAAATTATGTAATATCACACATCAACTATATATAGGAACTAAGATCCCACAAACCGCATGGCAAAAAAAAAAGTGAAGTAAGATATTTCAGGCAAACAATGTCCATGGGAAGTATCGCTCAGGGACTCCTGCAAAAAAACCAAAAACAAACAAAAACCCAAAAACAAAGAAACAAAAAAAACCAAAATAAATTTGATGTCTGAGTCTGGCCTGCTGGACTCCCAGGTTATAATCTGTGGCCTAGACCATTTTGGGAGGTGTCTGATCGCTAACATTTCCCTCACCCACCCCTCTTCTTTGTTTCAGTCCACAGTGAAGACCAAAAGAGACACGGTGAAAGGCTATTTTCTAGCTGGAGGGGACATGGTGTGGTGGCCAGTAAGTAGTCTTTGGTTCAATTAAAATTACTTCTCAAAGACTCTTCAAGTGTTGATATTCTGTCTAACCTTTGCTCGCTCAGGACTCTCTGGTTCCATGTTGTCTGGAAGTCACAGTCTAGACTAGAGAAGGCTTAGCTCCAACTCAAATTTGTTTGAACAAAAAGAATTCATCAGCTCACCTAAGGGAAAAACTGAGGGTTGGTCTGGTTTCAGGTATGGCAGAGTATAGGGGCCCAAGTGACAAGTAGGACCTGGTTTCTCCCTCTGTTTATCCTATCTATCTATCTATCTATCACCTATCTATCATTTATCTATCCATTATTTATCTATCATCTATCTATTTCTATCTGCTTCTCTTCTTCTGGATGGGTGCTATTCCCAAACAGGCTCAACTTCATGTCAACAAGATGGTGGCCACTGCTCCAGACCTTTCATCCTCTCAAGTTCCAGCCTAGCAAGGGAAGAGCACCTGCCTCCATGGCAGTATCCCTGGAAAATATCCCATCTTTGATTGTGTCCCTTGCCCATCTCTGTGCCAATCACTGTGACCAAGGTAGTTTGATGTGCTAACTGACTCATGATGTGCTAACTGGGTCACACACTCAGTGCCTAAGCTGTGGGGCATGGAGCCTGCTCTGAGGCATATGTGATGAGAAATGAGAGGGGCTAGACTCTGAAGGAAAATTGGAGAGCATGACTGGGACAAGGTGGAATGGGTGTTGAGAACATACATAACAAATGCAACAGCCCAATTAGTATTTTCTTTTCAAGGGTAGCTAAAGGCATTACTAAATACACACACGCACACACATGTGCACACACAACATACACATGCACACAGACCTCTGCTTCCTGGGCCCTGAGTAGGGGATCAGGAATAATAACTTTATTCTTGATCTCCTAATATAAGTGTTAAATCTTTGAACTAAAAAGAGAGAAGACATCTCCCGTTTGCAGGGAGTCCAAAAGATGTAGGATGTAAGATGCAGAGATAACAGGTATATAAGTTTCTGGTCCATGAGATGTCTAAAGACAATGACTACAGTGTCCTCAAAAGATACCAAAAATGAGCTCTGGATTATATATTCAACGAATTCATTTAAAAAATTCCCTGAGGAATATGTCCAGCAGTGTGCCAAACACAGGAGACATTAGTGAGCTCGTCTTCACCCTCAAGGAGCTTGTAATCTAGTGCAGTGTCTCCCAAAATATAAGTAACATGTGCCCCATGATTTTTCAGTTGTGCACAGACAGAGCGTTAAATAACATCAAATTACTTAGTGAGAACATTATTCCCTTTCCTGTTCTCTGTTAATCCTCTTGGTTACATAAAAGAAACAAAGTTTGGTACTAATATGGTTTTACCAACCTTCCAGCACTGGCTAATCTCTGTTTTTTGTTTTGTTTTGTTTTTTTGCGGTACGCGGGCCTCTCACTGTTGTGGCCTCTCCCGTCCAGAGCACAGGCTCCGGACGCACAGGCTCAGCGGCCATGGCTCACGGGCATGGGGGATCTTCCCGGACCGGGGCACGAACCCATGTCCCCTGCATCGGCAGGCGGACTCCCAACCACTGTGCCACCAGGGAAGCCCTAATCTCTGTGTTTAAAAGAGAACACATATATCTCTTCTGTGTATATATCTCTTCTATGCATATATCTCTTCTATGTAGAGCAAGTGATACTGATTTTCTACTTAAGGCTGTGGATGTATATATATATATATATATATATATATATATGCATGTACTATTATATTACTAATATATTGTATTAATATCTAATACATTGACTAAATAATATGTGATTCATGTATATGAGTTAAAGAAGAAGTCAATATAAAGTAAAATATTAAGTAAATAGCAGTGCAGGTGCAGTGAACTTAGAGAAGGCTACAAAGGAAATATTCAGCGACAGTTTTAAGAAATCCTGCTCTAGTGGTCTCTATGAGGAGTGATGCTGAGTTCCTAAAATTCAGTAGCAATACAGCAGCGCACCTAAGTATACCTGCTTTCGCATGTCACTTCTGGGACCATTTCTGTGATCATACTCCTTGGATGACCCTTCCCCAGGTCAAGAAGCAAAGGGAAATTTTGGAGCTTTTTTTGCTTTCTTCACCTGAGGAGAATGATGTCAATGTGAAGGAGATGTGGTTAAGAGTATGGGCTTTGGCTTGATAAAATGTTAACATCTATAGAAAATCAATACTAGTTCTGACAGGGATTGGTTATAGAGGTTTATGTGGTCTGTCACAGCCTTGGCCCACCTAAACACTGTCCAGGGGGCAGGTGCCTTTGTGCATATCCCATCATTTCATTTCAAGCAGCAGATGTCCGTCGCTGGTAAACACAGTCTGATAGCGCTAAACATTTGGGTCACATTATGAACTGCTCTAGTCCACAAAGCAACACTCTGATTATAGTTTGGCTTCTCACGTAGCTTATCTACATGGAGAGGCTGGAGAGGCTAGACAATTTGAATATCTGGTTGCATACCCAGTTGTAAGTCTCACTGGAAATCAATTAGCTTTCTGCTCTTATGTGTAAATCTTAGGAGTTTTGTTAATCCAGGTCTGCCCCTGATTAATAAATCCATTTTCTCTGTAATTACTAAGTGAAAAAAAAAAAAGAGAGAGAGAGAGAGAGAGAATAGGCTTTGGAACATGTACGTTAGTTAGCTGTTGTTGCCTAACAAACCACCTACACATTTAGTGGCTTAAAACAGCTACAGTGTATTATTTCTAATGGTTGCGTGTTTTGAGTGGGTGGTTCCTTCCCCGCTCTTTAGAGTCACTCATGGAGCTGCGTTTAGCTGGTGGCTGGGAAGGGCTGGAAGTCCAAAATGGCCTCATCACAAATCTGGAGCTCTGGCAGGAGCTAGACTGGCTAGAAGGCAAGGACTTCACTCTATATGCCTCTCATCATCTAACGGCCCGGCCCAAGGTTTTTCACAAGGCATCTGATTCCAAGGGCAAAAATGAAAGCTGCCGAGCTGTTGTGTGTTGGCCTGGAAGTCACACAGTGTCACTTTCACCACATTATATTGATCAAAATAAGCCACAGGCCAGCGCAGATTCTTTATGGGAAGAGTGGAAAATCAGAGGAGCATGCAGAGTGGTGTCATTGGGAATGGCAGAATAAAGATCTTTGAAATCTCCTCCTGCATAAAAGCAATGAGAACAGGGGCAAAATTGTCAAAATCATCATTTTCAGAACTCTGGAAATTGACCTAATGCTAGTATCCATCCAGGGAGCTTTAATTCAAGAAAAACAGCTGAATCTCAGTAAGAACAGGAAGTTTTGTGGTGTTTTACCTGGCTCTATTCTCATTCCCTTCTCTTCAGCTCTGCAGTAGTCTTGAAGGCCACTGGTTAGAACAGGATTGGATCTCTTTCAAAGTCCCATTCTCATATTATTGTCAGTATTTTACCCATCTTGCAGTTCCCTGGAAAGCTTCCCTTGCACAACTTGTCCTTATTTGATATGACTCAGTGATGATCTAGTGTGAGCAGCCCTTTACCCAGAGGCATTAGTTTAAAAAAAATCAGTGGCAATTGTTTGACATTGTAGCCGCCTGAGCTAGCAATAAGGGAATTAAAATGGCGCACTAGATAGTATCTATTTAACATAAATAGTAATACTCCCTAAACTGAACTACAGACTCAACACCATTCCTATCAAAATTCCAGCTGCATCCCCTCCTCTTTTTTTTGCAGAAATTGACAGACCAATCCTAAAATTCAGATGGAAATGCAGGGACCCAGAATAGCCAAAACAATTTTGAAAAGGAAGAAAAAAGTTGGAGGACTTATACTTCCCGATTTCAAAACTTACTACAAAGCTACAGTAATCAGGAGAGTGTGCTACTGGTATAAGGACAGATCAATGGAATAGAATCAGATGAAAACCAGAGACCAGAAAGTCAATGGGAGGCACAACAGTCCTCTCACAGATAGCTCCGTCTCTGTCTCTTTCTCCCTCCTTCCTCCCTGGGTTACACACCCCCAGCCTAAGGGACCAGCAAATATGGTTTCCCAGTTCCAGATTCCCAGGAGAGAGAATGTAATTGGCCCAGCTTGGGCCAGGCCTGTCTCATGCAATCAACTGAGACCAGGGATTGTGGTCATCAATTACCGTCTTGGCCACTTAGATTTCTACTAGAAGGATGGCTCTCTTCTTTGCTAAGTTAGAAGCAGAGCTGGGGAATAACAGAGGCTTCGTGATTCTCACCCTGAAGCACTTTCTATAACACCTGTCATCCTCCCTCCCCCCCAGGGATGCTGCACAAAGTTGTTCAAATTGTGCACTGCACAACCCTAGAGGGGACACGGTTCACATCTTAGGCATCATAGATATGTGTATTTGTTATGCCAGTTTTCTAAAGGTGGAAGTAAAATAGTCTTAGGGAAGAAGAGGCTTCTGATTTCTAAAAAGTTGCTTAGATGGGCTAGGGATGGCCCTGCTTTCTCCACTTCTCCTTTTGTCTTCTCTTTGGGGAATGGGAAGAACTGGTGGTGGGAAGAAGCTACACCAGACCTTGGCTCCAAGATCTGATCTATCATCTCCCCACAGGTGGGTGCATCCTTGTTTGCCAGCAATGTTGGAAGTGGACATTTCATTGGCCTGGCAGGGTCAGGTGCTGCTGCGGGCCTTTCTGTAACTGCTTATGAATTTAATGTACGTATGTTACCAGGGCATGGACAGCCCACCCTCTACGCAGTAGGTAGATCCCGGGGAGCAGTTGTATGCATGCTCTGCTCTTTTAAAAATAGAGTGGTGCTTTATGAAAAAGCAAACAGGAATCATCAAGGGCACCCCTAGTTAACAAAAATCAGTTTGATCTGCAAGTCCCATGCCTCCCTGTGTTTGCTTGATGGGAGCCCATAAGGCAAATACATGTGTGAAGAAGGCTCAGAGTCTCTCCCACATGGATGCAGAAGATAGAAGGTTTTGTGGGACTGGAGGGTGTTTCTGTATATTAGATATCAATTGCCCATCACAAAACTTTGTGGTTCAGTGGTTCTTGATCCTTTTGCCACCCCACAGGTACCCAAGAGATAAGACACACTCTTCTATGTAGCAGGATGATTTTCACTTAGTGGGAAGGGATGCACTTATTAATAGTGATCTTCATCTTCATAATGACTCACATTTTTTAAGCACGATCTTCATCTTCATAATGACTCACATTTTTTAAGCACTTACTCTGTGCCACAGACTTAAGTACACCACATACATCATCATATTACAGGATTCAATTACAGACTAGAACCAGACTGCCTGGGTTCACATCTGGGCTTTAAAACTTATAAGCTGTGTGACCTTGGGCAAGTTACTAGATCTCTCTGAGCCTCATGTATAAAACAGAGATAATGATGATACCTGCCATATCGAGTCATTGAGAGGATTAAATGAATTCATGCTTATAAAGTGTGCACAGGAATGCCTGGTGTATCGTAAGTGCTCAGTAAGCATCATCTCACTGATTTCCTTCCAACAACCAGGTGGGGGCAGTTCCTCCCATTTCACAGGTGAGAAGAGTGAGTCTCAGAGACCTGTATAAACTCTTCCAGCATCACCAGCGACTCATCAGAGTGGTCTGCCTGAACTCACAGGCTTGATTTAACCCCAGCCCAAGGAGGGGAGGGAACACAAGGGGACGAAGGGGGACACTCAAGGTTTAGGACACACAGCACTGGGGGCCACAAAGAGCTTCTAGTTCCATTCTGCCCTACTTCATCCCTGTGTCCTATTTAAACATGAAAATGTGACAGCCCAGGGAGGGTGAGCTACTCAGTAAGTAAGAGACGGAACCAGAGGCAGATGAGGCCAGGTTCCATCTGGACACGGGGAAATCCACGCTGGTACCACAGTGTGGGCGGGAGCTGAATCCTGATTCCGCTTTTCCCCGGCAGGGCTTATTTTCCGTGCTGATGTTGGCCTGGATCTTCCTCCCTATCTACATCTCTGGTCAGGTGAGTCTGAGGGGGGCTGGGGTGCTATGGAACAGGAAGACCCTTCGGGAGGGTCAGCTTTGCATTCCTTCCCTCCCGCCAGCATCCTTCCCTCCCTCCTGCCTGCGGACATCCATTATACCAGCGGTCCCCAAACTTTTTTTAAAAAATTAATTAATTTATTTATTTTTGGCTGCATTGGGTCTTCAATGCTGCGCACGGGCTTTTCCCCAGCTGCGGCGAGCGGGGGCCACTCTCCATTGCAGTGCGTTTGGCACCAGGGACTGGTTTCGAGGAAGGCAATTTTTCCACGGGAAGGGGGCATGGTGGGGATGGTGCAGGCGGTAACGTGAGCGATGGTTCAGGAGGTAATGCGAGCGATGGGGAGCCATGGGGAGCGGCAGATGAAGCCACGCTGGCCCGCCCGCTGCTCACCTCCTGCTGTGCGGCCCGGTTCCTAATGGGCCTTGGACCGGCACTGGTCTGCGGCCCGGGGGTTGGGGGCCTCTGCGTTAGTCCCTCAGAGGTCCCAGCATTAGCGTGGGATGATGCACAGCTGAGACAATTAGGAACCCTGTCCTTAGCATTTCCCACCTAGTGATGGACATCAAAGATACATGGGGGGCAGGGGCTTTCAGAAGCTGGAAGAAACGTAGGCTCAAAAAAAATTTTTAATGCCAAAACACAAATGTAAAAATCACAGTCTTTTCTAAATGTTTAAGCCACAACATATTACTGCTTTTAACATACACACACACACACACACACATGCACACACGCGCGTGCACGCGATTCAGTGATTTTTTTTCTTCCTTTGTACCCAAAACCATAATTATTGAGTTATTTCTGGCTGATGTGATATGTCAAAATTTTTGTTACAAAATAATGCTGCTTTAGACTTTTTGAAAAATAAAGTAGTTAAAAAAATCACTTCTAGGGACTTCCCTGGCAATCCAGTGGTTAAGACTGCATGCTTCCAAAATAGTTTAAAAAATCACTTCTAGGGACTTCCCTGGCAATCCAGTGGTTAAGACTGCATGCTTCTAATACAGGGGTCGCAGGTTCGATCCCTGGTGGGGGAACTAAGATCCCACATGCTGTGCAGTGCAGCCAAAAAATAAAATAAAAAAAATAAACTTAAAAATCACCTGTGATCTTACTGACAGCTTTCTGTCATTCATACCATCTAGACTTAATTCTATTTTAGACATTCTACTACACAGGGCAAGATATCATACAATATCATAGTGTTATTCATCAAGCAATAACTGATTTTAACTTTTTATTACAGAAATTTAAAAAAATACACAAAGTAGAAAGAACTACTTAATGATCAGAGAAATCATTGAAAAAAAAAATCACTCCGTAGCAGAAGTAGTGCAACCTTATGCAAAGGGCAGTGATGTAGGGATAAATAACCTCACTTGGAGATAATACTGAGTCTAAAAGCACGGTTTTTGGTGACTAGGGACCTGGGTCTGCCCATACCCACCTGTGATTAGCTCCCACATAGACAAAATCTCTGGGATAGAACAACACTGACTGGGACTGAGGATCTCTGGGCCAAAGCATCAGCAGATATTTCTTGAGCACCTAGTATAGGAAAGAGTAAAGGATGGTGGAGATGTAGGTTAATTCATAGGTAGGGTGGCCAGATGTTCTCAGCTGATGGTTTCCATTTTCTCTGGGAAGTAGAAGACAGTGTCATTTGCTGAATGAGGAAGGAATTTGTGTGGTCGAAGGTTAATAAGAGGCATGAAGATTTGAAATGACTTCTATAGTTTGTAATAGAAAAACCTGTGGACAACGCCAGTATCGCTCATTAGGGGACTGGGCATCTGTACTGTGGATATCATGCTGTGAAAAGGGCTGAAATTGATAGAGTTGTGCTGCTGTGAAAGGATCTCCAAGCTCTGTTTTTCAATAAAAAATTCCTGTGACTCTAGACATTCTTTGGGCAACATCTTATTCAGAGAGAAGATTAAGCCCGTATTAGATAATAAATGCCAGAGTGCTGAAAAAAGATAAAAAGCTACCCAATCTATTTTTATTGGGCAATAAAATAAACACAGAGAAAAGTGGTAAAGCACAAATGTGCAGCTTAACAAACTACTGTAAAATGAACACCCAGATCAAGACACAAAACAGGGACTTCCCTGGTGGTCCAGTGGTTAAGACCCCGTGCTTCCACTGCAGGGGGCACGGGTTCAATCCCAGGTCAGGGAAGTTCCACATGCTGCATGTGGCGTCCAAAAAAAAAAAAAAGACACAAAATATAACACTCCCCCACCTGCCTTTAGCGGATCACAGATGCCTTCCTTTCACAGTGACTTTCATTGGACTCACTTCTTTACTTTTCTTCACAGTTTTAATTGGGCATACTTAAACAAGATGGTTTAATTGTACTTTTCTGGAATGAAATATACATGGAATTGGGGGGGGTTACATTCTTTCCTTGCATGTAGCTGGTGTGTTCATTTCCATTGCTATGTAGTATTCTGTAGTATGACTATACCCCAATATATTTGTCTATTCTTTTGTTCATGGGCATTTAGGTTGTTTCTAATGTTGGCCTATGATAGACAACGCTGCTGTGAACATTTTTATACATGTCCTGATGCACATAAACAAGGTTGCTCCTAATGTTAGCCTATGATGGACAATGCTGCTGTGAACATCTTTTTTTTTTTTTTTTTTCGGTATGCGGGCCTCTCACTGCTGTGGCCTCTCCCGTTGCGGAGAAACAGGCTCCGGACGCGCAGGCTCAGCGGCCATGGCTCACGGGCCCAGCCGCTCCGCGGCATGTGGGATCTTCCCGGACAGGGGCACGAACCCGTGTCCCCTGCATCGGCAGGCAGACTCTCAATCACTGCACCACCAGGGAAGCCCGAAGGTGGATTCTTAACCACTGGATCACCAGAGAAGTCCCACTCACTGTTCTTTCCACTGAAAATTCTGTTTATATATTTTCTGGCCATTTGGATTTTCTCTTTAGGGAAGTAACTTGTCTAGGACTTTTGCCAACTTTTCTATTATGTTATATAGCTTCTTCTTATTGATAGAAGCTCTTTATACATTCTGGAAACAAGCCCTTAGGGTGATTATACGTGTTGCAAATATCTTTTCCCCACTTACTCTGTGGTTTGCCTTTTAACTCTCTTAATGGTGTTTTTTGATGAACAGATCTTAGATGTTTTAAAAAGTTATTTTATTCAAGTATAGTTGATTTACAATGCTGTGTTAATTTCTGCTGTACAGCAAAGTGATTCAGTTATACACATATATACATTCTTTTTCATATTCTTTTCCATTATGGTGTATCACAGGGTATTGAATAGAGTTCCCTGTGCTCTACAGTAGGACCATGTTGTTTATCCATTCTATATATATAATAGTTTGCATCTGCTAATCCCAAATTCCCAATCCATCCCTCCTCCACCCCCCACTCCCTTTGCAACCACAAGTCTGTTCTCTATGTCTGTGAGTCTATTTCTGTTTCGTAGATGAGTTCATTTGTGTCATATTTTAGATTCCACATATAAGTGATATTGTATAGTATTTGTCTTTCTTCTCTTTCTCCATTCATCTGTTGATGGGCATTTAGGTTGTTTCCATGTTTTGGCTATTGTGAATAGTGCTGCTATGAACTTGGGGTGCATGTATCTTTTTGGTTTTGTTTTGTTTTAATATTTATTTATTTACTTGTCTGTGTCGGGTCTTCGTCGCAGCATGTAGGATCTTTCGTTGTGGCGCGCGAGCTTCTCTCTAGCTGTGGTGCATGCACTCTAGAGCACGCGGGCTCAGTACTTGCGGTGCACGGGCTTAGCTGCCCCATGGTATGGGGGATCTTAGTTCCCTGACCAGGGGGTCTAACCTGCATCCCCTGCATTGGAAGGCAGATTGTTAACCACTGGACCACCAGGGAAGGCCCCATGTATCTTTTTGAATTAGAGTTTTGTCCGGATATACACCCAGGGGGGGGATTGCTGGATCATATGGCAACTCCATTTTTAGTTTTTTAAGGAACCTCCATACTGTTTTCCATAGTGGCTACACCACCTTACATTCCAACCAACAGTGTAGGAGGGTTCCCTTTAACAGATCTTAGTTTTAATGTAGTTCCATTTATCATTTTTCCTTAATTACTATCTTTTATGTCTTATTAAAAAATATTTCCTACTCTAAAGTCATAAAGATATTCTCCTATATTACCTTCTAGAACTTTTCACATTTAAGTCAATTATCCACCTAGAAGTAATTTTTGTCTACCATATTTTGAGAGTAGGATAACGCCAATATGACCCATCAAGAAAATTACAGACCAGTTTTACTTGTGAATATGGAAAATGACCTCTACTCTTTAGGGGCCCGCCCTACTCTCTAACCACCAGTTTACTCCTGTCAGTTCATTCATTTATTTGTTCATTGAAGAAGCATTTATTGAGCTGAATGCCAACTGCATTCCAGGCACTGGTCTAACAGTTCCTCATCCTTACCAGGCTCTCTACTTCCCCAGCCCTTTACAGTGCTTTCCCCTCTTGCTGGAAAGTTTTCCTTTTCCTTTGTGATTCGGTTAACTCCTATTATCTATCCAAATCCTACTTCAAGCAACTATTCCTCCAGGAAGCCCTTTCTGACCTCTCTGATTAGGTGAAGTCTCCTCCTTCATTGTGTCCACCACAGTTGCCGTTTTGCCTTTGCTTGTGTGATTATTAAATGAATACACCTCTCCCATTAGACTGTGTGTTTTTCCCCTTATACTTTCTCAACATCAGCAGTAGTAACATTTGGGGCAGGATAATTCTTTATTGTGTGTTTTTATGCGTGTGTGAGGAGTAGTCTGTTCATTGTAGGATGTTTGCAACATCCCCGATCTCTATCCACTAGATGCCAATAGCACCCTCCAAACTGTGGCAGCTGCAGTGTCTCCCGACATTGCCAAATGTTCCCTGGGGAGGTATGAAATCTCTTCCTTCCATTGAGAGCCACTGCACTAGACTGTGTGTCTCTCCCATTAGATTGTAAGCTCCAGGAGGGCAAGAACTATCTCTGTTTTCTCCCAGTGTCTAGAACAGTGCCTGATACATAGTAGGTATTTGAAAAATATTTGTTGAAATTACTCAGTAGCAGGGTCCATGATTTCAGAAGGAAGTGAAATGAAGGATGAGCTGACACCCAAAAGAAGAGGCACCAATTAGGGACTGAAAGTCTTGGTCAGGTCCCAAAGCCGGGGTCTCATCAGAGTGAGCAAACGGAAGGGTTGCACTGATGAGAATTTGGGGTATCGGAGGTGAATGGGGTCCTGGAGATGACGAGGTTTGGATGTTGGCCAGAGAAATGGGTTGCTGGAGTGGAAATGCCCATCTGTTGGGGTTAAACAAAGACACTGTACAAGATGTCCCAGTGGGTGCTCGTCACTGTCCTTGAAGCTGCTTCCAGACTCGGGGAAAGTCTAGAAAGAGGGGAAGACAGTGAAGGAGCTGAATTCTCATTGGCTGCTGGACAGTGTTCCCGGGAGGCTTGGGGTGGGCGGAAGTTGCTATGGCCAGATGGCATGGGTTTCCGAGGAAGAGGGAGGGGTTTTACATGAGGTCTGAGTGTGGCTGTCTGGACGTGATTCAAGGGAGAGTAAGAGAGATGCTGAAGTTCCCTCACTGCCCTGCACCCCCAGGAGATGAGGAACCACCAGACCAAGGCACTTGGGCGGTCCCCTCTCAGGGCAGTCGTCATTGGCTGCATTTATTTCCTGTTAACATTCACCCAGCAACACTCAGAGGGTGGTTCCTGTGTTAACAGTCATTCACCTCTCTGTCTCTGTCTCTCTCAACCTCGCTTGCTGGCAAATTGCCTTCTTAGCTACTTTACGACAAACAGCCTAGGTTCTGCCTCCTGTCTGTCAGCTAGCTTCACATTTCTCCCCAGAGTTTGATTTCTAGATACCAGTACTGCTCGCCTTCTGATGACTTTCATGCCTCCTTCCTTTCTTAGCTCATTAGAAACTTCCTGGATGTGGCAGGCTGTGCGACTCTCTAGATCGTAATGGAGGTCAACTGATGATAAAAGCTGTCAGTCCTGGGCTTCCCTGGTGGCGCAGTGGTTGAGAGTCTACCTGCCGATTCAGGGGACACGTGTTCGTGCCCTGGTCCGGGAAGATCCCACATGCCGCAGGGCGGCTGGGCCCGTGAGCCGTGGCCGCTGAGCCTGCGCGTCCGGAGCCTGTGCTCCGCAGCAGGAGAGGCCACAGCGGTGAGAGGCCCGCGTACCGCAAAAAAAAAAAAAAACAAAAACCTGTCAGCCAATGATAAGAGTCTTGCTCCCCAACAAGACCAGCTGGTGGTTGTCATTCACAGACGAGATAGTGAATCCTCTTGAGGAGCATCTTCCTTGGTCCACTTATCTGAATGGGCTGAAGTTCTCATGCACTCTCTCTAATTATCTTTCATACCATCACCAAGAGTGTGTCCATTCAATATGGTTTGATTGAATCTTTCCGTGTGTTATTCCCTGATAGAGTGTCAGAGCTCAGTGCAATGTGCATCTGGAAAATCCCTGCTGTGTTTGCCTTGCAGCAAATCAGAGGGTTGAGGCAAACTACTCCTGAGGGTCAGAATCCCGAATTGCCCTTTTGGGGAGAGGGGGAGGAAAGAGATGCTTCTTTTTTTTAAAAAATTTTAAGGTGTCTATTTATTCCTAGAGTTCAATTTTTTTGGCCAATATTTTATTATGAAAAAAATTTCAAACCTACATCAGTGTTGAAATGATTTTACACTGGACACCTTTATAGTCTTGAATACTGTACCCAGATTCTACTATTAACAACTAACCATTCTTTTTTTTTTTTTTTTGCGGTACACGGGCCTCTCACTGTTGTGGCCTCTCCCGTTGTGCAGCACAGGCTCCAGACACGCAGGCTCAGCGGCCATGGCTCACGGGCCCAGCCGCTCCGTGGCATGTGGGATCTTCCCAGACCGGGGCACAAACCCGTGTCCCCTGCATCGGCAGGCGGACTCTCAACCACTGTGCCACCAGGGAAGCCCCAACAACTTACCATTCTTGAATCAAGTCTGGCCATCCAGTCTCTCCCAGTCTCCACTCCCAACTTCTTCTACCTTCACAATCTGACCTTGGGATGGATGGTTTGCCATTTATCAGCTCATGATCGGGTACCCATTAGTCTACTCCCTGGGTTAGACTAAGGAACACCCAAGCAGCAACAGCCTGGACGAGGGGCTGCAAACATAATCATTACTCTGTCTTTTCCCATCCAACATCTGGGACCTCATGGAAGAACAGTTGTGCATTTGAGGTTCCATTGTCTAGACATGGCATTGTCTCAACCCCCAAGTCTGTGGGTACAGTGAGGAGACTTGGCAAGGACATGCTATCCCCAAAGTGCCACCCAAATAATGGTTCTCCTTGGTATGGCTCAGCCCCTGGGGTGCCTTATGTGGTAATGGCACCTAGCTTTGGCCCACCCATCTGGACCTAATTCAGTGCTTCCCTGGTTTCTCTGCTGTCTCTGGATTCTGTGCTCCTGGTAACGTGGCTGAAGGGTTACATGAGAGCAACTTCCCCAAAGGTTAGAACATGGACAAATGGAGATGCTTGAGATGAGTTTAGGTGTTAGACATGGAGCCAACTACACTGAATCACCTGGCGAAATTATTTCCTCTTCCATCATCTTTCAATGAGCTCAAGGGTAAAGTCTCATGTTGGTGTTAGTGAGCATTTAACACCTGTTCAACACTTTTCCTGACTTCTTTTTTTTTTTTTTTAAAAGAAAGAATGAGTAAGCTCTCGGTCCAGGGTTTTTGGTGTGCAAGAGGGAGTTGCCAGGAAAGAATAGAACATGAATGAGTGATTTTATTATCCATGTGCATATTTTTGCTGGTTCCCTTAAGTTTAGGATTGATATTTCATTTACAGTGGTGATTTGAAGTTTTCTTTTTAGGTAATTTTACTTCAATATAAACATGAGTTGGTTTAAAGAAAAACATTAAGTTTTATAACAGTAACATCTATATTAATAAGTTTTATGTAATAACATTAATAACACAGGAGAGGGCAAAAATTGGGGTGGCGTATACATTTGGGATATATGATAGTTGGGTACCTAACTCTGCACAGAACCCCAGTCCATCCTCACCCTACCCCTTTGTTCCATTTTCTCCTCTCTTTTAAGTCTCCCATTGAGAATCCCAAGAAGACCATCTGTGCTTCTGAGTTTGGGGAGAAGGGGGGAGGGGGAAGAAGGGCTGTTGGGTGGCAAAATCTCAACTCTGGTCCCCAGGTCACCACGATGCCAGAATACCTAAGGAAACGCTTTGGCGGCAACAGGATCCCCATCATCCTGGCTGTGCTCTACCTGTTTATCTACATCTTCACCAAGATCTCGGTAAGGTGGGGACACAGCCTGGTGAGAAGCTCAGCTGGTGGTGTCCCTCCCCTATTGAGGAAGCTTCTGGGAGGTTCAAGGAAGTTGGGAGGGGTGGGGGCAAAGGCTAAGCTGGGGCAGAGGAAGTACAGAAAAAAGGTAGAGGAAAGGACTCCTCCCCCTTCTCCTGCCAAAGCATCTTCAGCAACATCTTGGGATGGTGCCCATCACTGAATGGGACTCTGAGAGCCCTCAGGTGGGTCTGTCATCTTCCTCCTGGGATCAGGCAGTTATCAACTATTAATGATATGTGCTGATGGCCCACTGAGCCTGCCCCACCCTGACGTTTGGATGGGCAGGTCTTCTGGAAAGCAGCCAAGAGCAGACGCTTTGCAGCCTCCAGTACGTGCTGCTCAGCCTGACTCACACCGATGCCCTCTTCTCTTCCACCTGGAGCTGGGGGAAACCTTGTCCTATGTGGGCGAGGGGGGTGGGCAGAGGAATCCCATTCAATTCAAACAACAATAACTGACTCTGTGCCAGCTCCAGATGTGAAAGGCAGAAGGACAATGCTCGCTCTCATTCTGGTGGGAAGCTACAGATGTGGGGAAACCTTCCCAAGGAAAGTTACATCTGAGGAGGGTGTAGAGAGGCTGTAGAGAAAGGGGGATTGGCATTCCAGAGGGCTGGACAGAATAAGAAAACCCTTGGGGGCATGAAAAAACATGACTTGTTAGGGAAACAGGGTGTATTTCAGTGTGTCTGGGAGCATGAAGTGAGTAAAGAAAATGAGGTCAAGGGGCAGGCAAACCATGGAGGGCCTGGTATACAGCTCTAACTTACTTGAACATTATCTTGGGGGCAGTAGGGAGCTACTGAAGCGTTTTGATGAGGATGAGATGATCATGATGGTATTTGATAAAGGCTGCAGTGTGGAGGATGGAGAGTAGGCAGATCAAGAATAGAATCAGGAAGACGACTGAGGCGCTTGTATTAGCCCAGTGAAGGGGCCTCAAACATAATCACCCGTAGGGCTCCCGTTTGAGACCCCTGATCTAGGAAGAGATGAAGAAAGGACATCATATGATGTTTCTGTGTTTGCCAGAATCAAGGCTAGGGTCTGAGCCTGGGGAAACTGTGCTAAAACGTCCATCCATTCATTCACCCGTCAACTTCATGTCTCTCCAGGTAGACATGTATGCAGGTGCCATCTTCATTCAGCAGTCTTTGCACCTAAATCTCTACCTGGCCATAGTCGGGCTGCTGGCCATCACAGCTCTATACACTGTTGCAGGTACGACTGAACAAGGGGTGATTCTGGGAGAGGTGGTGGGCAGGGGCTGTGGGCCACCCTGTCTTTTCCTGGCTCGTCTTCTGATGTTCCAGTGTGCTAAGACAATGTCTTCATGAACCCTCAGTCCATCACTCCAGATAATATGATTTCTCTTGGTCATCGTCAAAGGAAGAGGGATGCCTGATAGAAGGGAGGATTTTTAAAGGTACCACAACTGCATAAAGCTATTTTCCATTTATTTATTCAAGAACTATTCGTTAGAACCTACTAGCGGCTGAGCATATGTATTCACACACACTATACAAAGCTAGACCATAAACCACTGCAATTCTGGAGCCTGAGGCCGGGGAGCCTCAACTTTCCCCCTCAGACTTGCATCCCAGAAGAGTGGCTGGTGGAGTGCAGCACCTGGACATGTATCTGCTTTTGAATATTCACCTTCTCATCTTCTGTTCCAGTTTCATCCTTCTCTGCCTCCTCTTGGTGTAATTCATTCCACAAATTATCTTATCTATCTATGTATCACCTACTATATGCCAGGCATCGTGCTAGGAAATGGGGCATAGCAGTCAACAAGATAGACAAAATCTTTTTTTTTTTTGGCCGTGCAGCTTGTGGGATCTTAGCTCCCCCACCAGGGATTGAACCCGGGCCCACGGCATTGAAAGCACCCAGTCCTAACCACTGGACCACCAGGGAATTCCCATGACAGAAAAAATCTTTACTCCAAAGGAACTTACATTCTAGTGGGGAAGGGGAGACAGACAATGAACAAGGAAGCCAATAGTGATGTCAGAGTATACTGTTATAACAAGATGGGGAATAATGGTGGGAGGATTCTTTTCCATCCAATGTTCAGGCAAGGCCTCTCTAAGGTGATATGTGGACCAGATTTAAATGAGATAGAGGGAAGACTCTGACATGAGAACCCGTGTTGTTTGTTTGAGGAGTAGCAAGGGGGTCAGGGTGGCTGAAGCTGAGCAAGCACATGTGTTGAGGCTGAGTCCTGTCTAGCTGTGGAGGAGGCCACTCATACAAGCTGGAGTGACAGTGGTGACGCCTGTATTGGCTGTGCTGCAGCCCTGATGGGAGGAGAGAGGAGTGGAGGAAAGGGCAGGCACCGGAGCCTCGAAGGAAATCAGATGAGCCTGGATTTAGTCCCAAATGCCGTGGAACACCACTGGAGGCTCTAGACAGAAGAGTGACCAGTTCTCAGAAATACAAAAGCCCGCTGCTGCAGGAAGATCTGGGCCGAGTTTTCAGCGCTAACAGAAGCCACGTGTCTGGGGCACAGGGAAAGGAAAAGTTTAGTCGCAATTGCCAATCTATCTCTCTGTTTCCTTGTTTGGGGGTGTCTCCCCCATTAGACTAGAAGCTCCGAGGAGACAGGCAACATGCTGTTTTGTTTGCCTCTGTATCCCTACCACGTAGAACTAGTTTGGGCGCTCACCATATGTTTGGTGAGTGATTGAATAAAACACTAGACGCAGTGCCTGGTAAGTGATAAATGCCCAATAAACATTAGTATAGCGACGTGGGTGGGTTTCAGTGGCACCTACCTTCAGGATCTCACCACACTCAGGCTGACTAATTGCCTGAGTGGGGCCAGCAGAGAACTGGGGCCAGATGCTAAGCCAGTTCTCTCTCCATTTGTGAGATGACCCTATTCCTGGGGCAAAGAAGGAGGAATCACAGATCAACACACCCACATGAATGTCTGTTTGGCTTTTTTAGTGTCCTGTGACTTTACCCATGAGTAAATCTGTTCATGTCAGATAAGTGTCCCTTCTCTGTAGGGAAAGAGGAAGGAGAAAGGGATAGGGAAGAGACTGGAAAGATTGTTTTGTCCAGATGCTGATGGATTTGCTACCATGATTGTCGTTACAAAGATTTTTCTAGGTGGCAAGACCAATAAGAAGCCACTGAGGCCAACCACTGTGACCCTCTTTGGGAAGCCTATTAGACTCTGAATACCTAGTACTCACATCCTCTTTCCAATGTTTAAAGGTCTTCAGAGCTTGGGGACCATGGCCCAAGCACCACTTCCCATGTCAGTTAGAAATTACTGTGTAACTAACCACCTACCCCCCATTAGGGAGTTAATGGTTTATTTCCGCCCACAATTCATTCCATGCGTTGCCTGGGTGGTTCTTCTGCTGGTCTCACCTGGCTCGGTTGAATTATACTAGTTAGATGGTACCTGGAACAGCTGGGTGGAACAACATGGTCTCACTCAGGTGTCTGGTGGTTAGCTTGGCTGTCAGCTGGGCTTTCCTTCCAGGTGGCCCTTCATGCTCCATGAGGCTAGACTGGGCTTCTTAAAGAAGCATAGTGTTCTCGGGGCAACACAAGAACAAGAGCAGGAACTGCAGGCCTCTTGAGGACCAGACTTGGAGCTGCACAACATCACTTCCACCGTATCTATAGGTTAAAGCAAGTCATTCGGCCAAACCATATTTAAGAGGAAGAGAGATCTTCACCTCAACGTGAAAGGAGCAGCAAGGCCACATTACTAAATGGGCAGGCACCTGGGAAGGAGATATTGTGGCCATCTTTGCAAACAATCAACACTAGGAACTCTCCCCCGTCAGGTCTTGAAATTCCAAGTTGCCTCTGGCACCCAGAGTAACTCCTCTCCCCCAGAGTACCTGACCCTCACCTCAGTGCTCATCTTCCCACTAGGTGGCCTGGCTGCTGTGATCTACACGGATGCTCTACAGACTCTGATCATGCTTATAGGAGCGCTCACCCTGATGGGCTACAGTAAGTGGGGTGCCAGGGTCATTTGGGTGGATGACAGCACCTCTCTCAAGCATGGACATCTGCTTTCATCACTGTTTCAAACCCAGCTGGGGATTCCTGCTTGAGGCATGGTCATTTTAGCTGGAAGAGAGCTGTGCGTATCATGGAAACTTACTGTTTTTTAAGGAAAAGTTAATAGATCCTCCTATGTTGACGTGGATAAATAATTAAATAAACAAATAAAAGGGGGCAAAAGGAAAACTCTTCCTTACAGGAGAATTCCAATTAATAAATGAAGACAGACTGAGGGAAATAGAAGATCACTATTAGAACATCACAGTCATAATTGCTATAGACAAGATCCAATGATAAATGCTGAAGTCAGCACATGAAAGTTTATGAAGAAATAAGATATTTGCTTGGTCTCAAAGTATCACGTCCAAAATATTTATTAATTACAAAGGGCAATATAGCCACTTTACAGTGGAGAAACATGGCACGTGCCACTGTAACTAAGCGACCAGGGCATATTAACTGATACTACAGTAATCAGACATACCAGTATGTAGCTCCTGATACGGTGCATTGAGAAGGACACAGCATCACCTCTGTGCCATTCTTGCCAAAATATATAACCTCAACTTCATCGTAAATAAACATCAGGCAAACCCAAATTAAGGGACATTTTACACACTACAATGACCAGTATTCTTCAAAAGTATCAAGGACATGAAAAATAAGGAAAGGCTGAGGAACTACAGAGAAAGGAGGAAACATAAATAAACACAGTGTGGGATCCTGGATTGGATCCCAGAAGAGAAAAAGAACATTAGTGGTGCAAATTGAACAGCCCATACTGTAGTTAATAGTAAGGCACCAATGTTAATTTCTTAGTTTCTGTAACTGTACTTTGCTTATGTAAGACAGTGACACTAGGAGAAGGTGTATGGGAACTCTCTGTACTACTTATACAACTCTTCTGTATGTCTACAATTATCTCAAAATTAAAAGTTCATAAATGAATACCTATTAAAACACTAGTGATCCAGATGCTTTATCATTTAATGCTCATAACAACCCAATGATATCAGTATTATTTTTACCCCTTTTGTTGGATGAGAAAATTAAGACACCAACTGTTAGCTCAAGGTCACAAAGTTAGAATTCAAAGCCAGGATTCAAACCCAGTCAGGCTGACTTCAGATCTCATACCCTTCCTTCCCCATCATACTCCCTGTTGATAATAGTGGGGAGATAATGTGGTAATAACTTTTGTGGGAAGAGTCTAAGAGCAGGCGTCAAAGAGCATAGGCAGGAATTTTTACCTTAACATTGTGCCTTCCTGCCTGCCGATGCAGGGTACGCGGGTTTGTGCCCCGGTCCGGGAAGATCCCACATGCCGTGGAGCGGCTGGGCCCGTGAGCCATGGCTGTTGAGCCTGCGCGTCCGGAGCCTGTGCTCTGCAACGGGAGAAGCCACAACAGTGAGAGGCCCACATACCGCAAAAAAAACCCCAAAAAACAAACAAAAAAAAACAAGAGAAACTGAAAAACTGACCTAAAATGGAGCTTATTAAAGTGACTGAAATCAAGATCCCCCACTTTCCTTTATACCAAAAGGATTCCAAATTTCATTTGGTACCCTGATGTCTCCTACATGGGTGCTACTCAGACTGTGGTCCAGGGACCAGCAGCATCAGTGTCAACTGGGAGCCCATTAGAAGGGCAGAATCCCAGGCACCACTGCAGACTTGCTGAATCAGGATATGCTTTTTAATGGTTCCCAGGCGATTCGTGTGTACATTAAAGTTTACGATGCTCTGCCTACTTTATTTTCACCCATCCTGGGGTGATTCTTTTCTCAGCCTTTCTACCTGCTATTATCTATATGTATGTGCTTTACACACTCAGATGGGCAGGTCCAATGATTAATAAAACTTCCCTCCCTCCCACTACCACAAAATAATTTTTTAGGGAAAAAAAAGCATGACAAAAATTTATCATCACAATATTTTTCCCCCAGTAGCCACTGTTCACCACAACCTTCAGCAAAAATAAGCTAGGCTGCAGATTACGTATCATTCCTACTCAAGTGGTAACACCAACCCCTTCTCTTCCATACCAAAAAACAAAGAAACAAACAAAACACCAAAAATAAAACACAAGAAAAAAACAAAACAACAACAAAAAGACAAACACAACCTTCCAGAACGTAATCCAGTGAGAGCAATGTTATTTTGGGGATAACCTTGAATCTGTTCAATTAATGAAAAGAAGCAAATTATCTGCAAATTGCAGTGCTTTATTATTTTTTAAGGACAACACACGTTTGTGCCAGATGCTGTGCATTTTATGTGCATTATCTCACTGTCTTTCTCCAGCCCTATGAGGTTGGTGCTACATTATCCCCACCTGCAGATGAGGAAACCGAATCTCAGACAGGGAAGTGACTTGCTCAAGGCCATAAGTTACTTGGACCACTCTTGTGATACCATGAATTGAGAGTAGCTGAGAAGAAGTTCAGAGGTGAAAGAATGTTTCCTTAAGGCAGGCTTTCTTAACCTGGACAGAATTCATGGGTTTTGTGAATCTTGGATGGGAAAGAAATTCATCTCTATTTTCATATGAGCATCTTTCAATGATTAGTGTAGGCAACAAACCACAGGAAGATTTGCAATATCTGTGACTTTGATACCAAAATATACCCACCGAGGTTTTTATCCAAATGTTTTTACAGTTGCTTCTGATGTATTGAAACACTGTGTCCATGGTTTTTTTAAAACTAAATTGTTATTTGACCCACTGTGGGGTCTTTCTACTTAATGGAGCAAATAAATAAATTACTACGTCAGAGTTTTTATGGTTTGATGGGTGCTTTCAACATATTTGGTTTTCTTTACAATCTATGTATTTTGTATTGTATATTTAGGAATATTATTCTGAGAAGCCATCCATAGTCACTACCAAAGGCATGAAAAAAAAAAAAAGGCGAAGAACCTTTAAGTCAACTAACTTTCCCTTGGTATCTCTGTTCTAAGTAGGATTTCACCAATCTCCAGCCATCCCCTCATGAGTTGCTGTGGATCAGTCTGAGTTCCTGGCAAATTTGGGTTTCCTCCGAATACTAGGTTTTGCTGCAGTCGGCGGGTTGGAAGGCCTGGAAGAGAAATACTTCTTGGCTGTGGCCAGCAACCGGAGTGGGAACAACAGCTGCGGGCTGCCCCGGGAAGACGCCTTCCATATTTTCCGAGACCCACTGACATCTGATCTCCCGTGGCCTGGGATCCTATTTGGAATGTCCATCCCGTCCCTCTGGTACTGGTGCACCGATCAGGTACGGGGCAGCAGGCTGAGAAAGCTGCTCTCGGGGACGCTTCCTTCCTTGGAGTATCTGGAGGCTGGGTTCTTTTCTCCCACTATCTGTTCTCTTATTTGCGTTTCTCCCCAAACATCCTTGAGAACTTCTTTCTCTCTACTGCTCTACGTGTTATCTTCTTATTCTTATTCATGTCGCAGCAAATCCAAAGCTACTGATGTTTGCAAAGGGGAAAGCTTGATACATCCTGCTGGATGTCTGGAAGGATCCAGTAAGCAAGAGAGATGAAACATTTTAAAGAGAGGTTAAAACTGGTATAGGTATTATTTGCTCCACAAATACTCACTAGGTGTCCTCTATGTGCCAGCCACTTGGAAATCACAAGTAAACAAATCAAACAGGCTCTCGGAGCTCACCTTCTTCTGGTGGAGGTAGACAGGCAATAAATAAATTATGGGGAACGTTAAAAGGTGATAAACTGTCATTAAAAAAAAAAAAAAAGGGGGGGGGGGTGGAAATGGAGGGTGTGGGAGTGTCCTCTAAAATAGAGTGATTAGGGGAGTCATGGTTGAGAAGTGCCCTCTGAGCTAAGGAGAGTGAGTGGGCTCTGGTGATTGTTGGGGAGGAGAGGTTTAGGCAGAGGCACCTGCCAAAATAAAGCCCTTAAAGCAAATATATAACTGGTGTGAAGAAAGAAATGAGAAAAGCAAAAGGCACTGTGGTGTGTATAATAAGCCTTTTTGTGTTAAAAGGTGTGTGTGTTGGGCTTCCCTGGTGGCACAGTGGTTGAGAGTCCGCCTGCCGATGCAGGGGACGCAGGTTCGTGCCCCGGTCCTGGAAGATCCCACATGCCGCGGAGCGGCTGGGCCCGTGAGCCATGGCCGCTGAGCCTGCGCGTCCGGAGCCTGTGCTCCGCAACGGGAGAGGCCACAACAGTGAGAGGCCCGCGTACCGCCAAAAAAAAAAAAAAAAAAAAAAGGTGGGGGGGGGGGGATAGAATCCATATTTGCATTTGCTTGTATGTGCTGAAGGAAACTCCGGATGGATGTATATAAAACTAAGAGCAGTTACCTGTGGGCAGGGAGGTGGGCAGATGTGCCAGGATGGATGGAAGCCATTTCACTGCACACCTGTTTATACTTTCTCAGGTTTCAAGCCCTGTGAATATATCATCTGTTGAAATGGCTTTTTCCGTTACATTAATGATCAGAGATCTGTGTGCCATTTTGGAAGCCCTATTTCATATTCAGGGCTGATGAGACTTTAAATAAAATAATGATCATGGAGTCGGGCCACTGAATTGATGGAGGGGACACTGCAAAGAGTGAATCCAGGTCACCCCAAGGGTCAGAACTCCTGAGTGAAGAGCTAGAGATGGGTGCAATACTGCCCCTTTAAGAGAGAGCACCCGTCCTCTTCCTTAGCAAGTCTCAGGCTGGAGAGACCCTGGGAGACAGCTCAGACGGAGGCTAACAGCCTGGGCTTTAACCTTAACAGACCTGGAATCAAGTTCAGGTGGCATAACCTTGGGACACCGTCTAAGATCTCTGAGCCTCTGTTTCCTCATTAGCGGGGTTACTAATAATTGTGAAAAAGGGGAGCATTAGGAATTTGCTCATAGTCTTTTTTGTTGCAGGCTCATTTAATAAACTGTTTAAAACATTTACCTTTTTGCTATTTTTTTTTTTTTTTTTTTTTTTGCGATACATGAGCCTCTCACTGTTGTGGCCTCTCCCGTTGCGGAGCACAGGCTCCGGACGCGCAGGCTCAGCGGCCATGGCTCACGGGCCCAGCCGCTCCGCGGCATGTGGGATCTTCCCGGACCAGGGCACGAACCCGCGTCCCCTACATCGGCAGGCAGACTCTCAACCACTGCGCCACCAGGGAAGCCCTTTGCTATGGTTTTATGCTACTGCTCTTGACATGGCTCAACAGCTTATATTTATTAATCTATACAAATATTTCCTTGAGATGCCTCACATCCTTACTAGCTGGGATTCCAGTGTGCAACCCTTGAAGCCCACCTCCAACCCACCTCGCATTGTTCAAGAGCCTGGGGACTTAATTAATCCGGGATGACTTGATCTTCTTCCAAAGGGCAGGCAGGGCCAGAGGGGCCAGAAACCCAAGCCCTCCTTGGACCCCACGACTTCTGGTTTTGCCGCTGCTGAGCTGAATTCTGTTGAGTCCAAAGACTGTGTTAGTCCCTTGGGCTGGTGCTGCCCTACGTAGCTCATTTCAGAGCAGGAGAAAGACAAAGCAGCATTCACTGTTCACTGGTTGGGGGCGTGTTCCTAATCTTCCTGGGCAGAGACGGAAGAGGTAAATCACAACCGATAATCGTAATGACACAAACATTGATTGATGCTGGACCATCTACCAGTAACTGATATAAGCATTTCCTATATGTTAACTCATTGATTTTCATAACATTCCTATGAGTCATGCTCCATTACTTGGGTCCGGGGGTTGCCGTACAGGGCGACACGCTCTTCCCAGGGCTTGTGGGATTTTGAGCAGCAAAAGTCTCTTAAAACTTACTCAGCTGGAGGCTCCGCTTCATGGGAATAAAAGCCAGCATTCTTCTCAGTCACAGCTTTGGATCTCCTGTCAAAAGGGCTTGGTTTTCCAAAGCTCTAAATTCCTCTCTGCTTCCAGATGGACCGACAAGGACTGAAGCTTGCATGCCTCTTCTTGGCACCTTAATGAAGCAGTAAAAAGTATTCTATAGTTGCTGTATCGCTCCATGTTACTATCGCATTGTTAAGTGTTCTAGAAAGCCCAGTAGGTGTGTGTTTGGAGCCCTGAGAAATGACAGGTAACAGTTAAACAGCTGACTTCCCAGCTCTGGATAGAGGGATCCTCACTGCTCCTTCACCTTTCCTCACATAAGCTGATGCCACGTTTTAGAGTCTTTCACTGACAACATCCAACCCAATAATAATAATCTGTGCAGGTGAGGGTACACTTGGTTGCAAGTCACAGAAAAAATAATCAAATTTAAACCAGCTTAGGAAAAGGGTAGGGGATTTATTAGCTCATGGAATACGAACGGCAGGAAGCTGAACTAGCCTTCAGAAAGTGCTGGAACTTTTTCTGGTTTCTTTCTCCATTGTCTTTCTCTCTTACCTGCTGACTTCATGGTCTCTCACTGCAGACCAACTGCAAAAAGACTGACAACTCTCCAAGTCCCAAATCCAAATACCCTGTGTAAGGGCTCTGATTGGCCAGGGGTGAGTCAGGTGCCTACCCCTGGATCAGGCAGATTCCGTACCCAAGATGACACGGTAGCCTTGTGGAGAGGGAATGGGTTTCAAAAGAAGCAGCAGGACGCTCTAGGAAGCCTATGCCATTGATGAACATTATTTAAAAAAATGGGAAGAATTCCCACTTTGTCCTGCTCACCACAGCACCATAATGGTAATGGCATTTCACTCCTCTTGTCCACAGTTCACTGAACCAACTCATAAAAGCTCTAGTAACTCACCAAGGCCTCTGCAACTTCTCCAGATGCTTCAAGATCCAAAGCCTAAGGAAATAGTAGAGAAAGTTCTGAGTTCATGTAGATTCAATCTGAAGCCTGGAGCAGGATTTTGGGGGACCAGTCTTCTACTCAGAAAACACTCTAGAACATGTCATTCCCTTTGAGTGGATAAATCGTTTTAGTTACTCGATATTGGTATATATTGCAAAATCATCACCAAAATAAATCTAGTTAATATTCATCACCATCAGTTATTGATACAATTTTTTTTCTTGTGATGAGACCTTTTTTGTGTGTGATGAGAACTTTTAAGATCTATTCTCTTAACAACTTAAAAATATGCAATCCAGTATTATTAACTATAGTCACCATGCTGTACACTACATCCCTAGGACTTATTTATTTTATAACAGAAATTTATACTTTCTGATCCCCTTCATCCATTTTGCCCACCTGCCACCCTTTGTCTCTGGCAACCACCAATCTGTTCTAAGTGGATAAATCTTAACAAGACCTACCTTATGCCACCCAACAGAGAGAAGGGGGTCAGGATAAGACCTAGGCACACCGTATGCAGTAACTACAAGTCCAGACATGCCAATCCTGTTGGTAGCAATATCTCAGATCCTCTCTTTCTCTTAACTCATCACTCCTAGCAAAGTATTTGCATTCCTCTTCTATCCTCTTTCCCGTTCTTGATTTCTCTGCCTTGGTATAGCTACCCCAACTGGACCACTGGATCACAGGGACTGAGAATAGGAGAGATGTTTCCTTAGAGAAGGCAGGCAAACCGAGCTCCTGGGTCTACTATGCCTACAAAGAAGCCATGCGCACCTAGTTGGCCTTAAGAGAAATCTATCTCAACTTCCAACCACACCACTGTTTTCCAGGTGATTGTTCAGCGGACTCTGGCTGCCAAGAACCTGTCCCATGCCAAAGGAGGCTCTCTGATGGCCGCATACCTGAAGGTCCTGCCCCTTTTCATCATGGTGTTCCCTGGTATGGTCAGCCGTGTCCTCTTTCCAGGTAAGAAGACAGTTGGGAGGAGAGGTTGTCTGTGAGTCTCAGACCCTGTGAAGTGTTCTGAACATCTTACTGACTGCCCCTCAAGAATGCAGCTGGAGTCCCTTCCTGGTGATTCAGCTGAGGTGTCTCCATCCCGGCAACTACTGACTCAGTGCTGTTTCCCAACATTGGTTCAATGAGAACGTCCTATTAATGTCTCAGGCCAAGTCAAATGGAGACCTATCTGGGGCCTCGCCTCAACTATATATTTTCGGAAAACACAAACTAGGCTAAAATCTCATGGTTCCAGATGTCAGCTCCCTGAAATCCCATGAGAGGGCTCCCCTCACACTTCAATGTTTGAACCCAGTGGTTTGGCAACTTCGGCCCAATAGAACCCTTTGGGGGTTCCTTTTCTTAACAAAATCAGGGATATCAAAACCTCTAGAGTATCTGTCTTAGCTTTTTTCTTTTTTTTAAAACTTGGTAGAGGGATGAGGTTTGCAGCATGGGGATTAAACAGGACTAGGGGTGGGGGATGTTATTGGGAGTCGCTGTGACGTCAGGAACTGGTGATCTGTGTGGAAGAAAGCTCCTTTCTGCCTCATTAAGTTTAACCCTGTATTGACCCAAGCTGTTATTAACTCAAACGGGCAGAAATCTCCCTCCCCTATGCCTTATCTTACATGATGTTGCAGAGGTAAAGAAAGGGTTAGGATGAAATGGTTAGTCCAGAAGTTTTTTTTTTTTAATTAATTAATTAATTTATTTATTTTGGGCTGTGTTGGGTCTTTGTTTCTGTGCGAGGGCTTTCTCTAGTTGCGGCAAGCAGGGGCCACTCTTCATCGCGGTGCACGGGCCTCTCATTATCGCGGCCTCTCTTGTTTCGGAGCACAGGCTCCAGACGCGCAGGCTCAGTAGTTGTGGCTCACGGGCCTAGTTGCCCCACGGCATGTGGGATCCTCCCAGACCAGGGCTGGAACCCGTGTCCCCTGCATTGGCAGGTGGACTCTCAACCACTGCGCCACCAGGGAAGCCCCAGTCCAGAAGTTTTGTCAAAATAATTTAGAACTATGAATTAGGTGGAAGGACTTGGGGAAGAGAAAGGATGGGGAGCCATCCGTGGTGCCAGATGCTGGGATTGCGCTTCTCCAACCCTGATGGATGATGAACCCAGAGCCACCAGTCCTCTTTCCAGGGAAGCGGCACAGGGCTTGAAAAATCCCAGATGAGGATAAGAACTGGGATCTTGGTTTTATGGTGACTTGATGGAAAATATACAGCTAAGGGGCAAGGCGACATATGAACAAAGAAAGTGGCTTAAAGCAACCAACATTCATTGTGCTAAGGGCCAGTCCCCGTGTGAGGAGTTTTGCAGAAGAGTGGGGCGGTTATGAATATGAACACTGACCTGAAATGCCTTGCCTGAACCTTGGCTCTGACACTTCCTGGCTCCTGTGACCTTGAATAAGTCACTTAATTTCTGTTAAGTGCTTCTGTTTCCTCACTTGTAAAATGGGGATAATATTTCCTAAGGCTTAAAACAGTCCCTGGCACATGGTAAACACTATAGAAGTGTTCACTTTTATTATTCTATACATATTTTATCTCATTGATTCCTCAAAAGGACCTTATGAGATAGGTACTATTGTTATTTTCATTTATAGATAAAGAAATCAGGGAATTCCCTGGCAGTCCAGTGGTTAGGACTCCACACTTGCACTGCCGAGGGTGTGGGTTCAATCTCTGCTCGGGGAACTAAGATCCAGCAATCCGCGTGGCCAAAAGAAAGGAAGAAATTAAAGCTCAGAGAAATTAATTGATTCACTCATTTATTATTCTTCCATGGATTCAACAAATATTTTGAAAGCCAATTATCTGCCAGGCCTTTTTCTAGAAGAGCCTGGGGATGCATAAGGGAACAAGACATACAGTAGCCCTGCTGTTGGGGGGGATTACGTTTTAGTGGTGAAGGAGACAAAAAATACGTAAGTGAGCTATTCATTGATTGTGCTAAGTGCTGTGAGGAAAATGCTAGGGAAGCATCACAGGGAATGCTGGGCAGGGGCTCCTATGACAGGGTTTCCAGGGAAGGCCTCTGTGAAGAGGCAACAGTTTATTCATGTGGATGGTTTGAAAATATAATTTAGAGCGGAGCCAACCAGATGAATGATGGATTGGATGAAGCTGTTAAGGAAAAAAGAGGACTCTAGATCACTCCTAGGTTAGGGGACTTGCTGGAAGTTACTTGGCTAGGGCTGGGTAAGCCAAGATTTAAATCCAGGGGCCTCTGCCTCCAAAACCTGACTCTTAATCATGCTACTGTCTCTCTCAGGAAATCACATCAATACTTTGGATCAGTATCAGGATGATCAATAACAAGACCCTGAGCCTCACTCTTAGCAGTCAGCCCGTCAATAACGGTTGTTAACTGAAACATAATGCCACATTCCACGCCCCTAGGGAGTTTATAACATAACAGATGAGTCTGGTACTTGTGAAAAAGTAAGAGAAAATTGATATCAAAACACTCTAGCATTTGGTACTAGCAATAGTGCGAAAGGAATTTAAGAGAGTGAGGTAGGGTGGAGATGGTGAGGTGGGTGCGGTGCATTTGAAGGTCTTGACTGGAGCTTCTCAAAGTGTGGTTCCCAGTCTAGCAGCATCAGGGTTGCCTTGGAACTTGTTAAAAATGCAAACTTTCAGGTCCCGTCCAAGACCTTTTGAATCCGAATCTCTGGGGGTGGTGCCCGGCAGAAGATTGAGAAGCCCTGGTCTACAGGGCCAGGTGCCAGGCCAAGCCACTGTTCCTACCCATTTCCACTCTTCTCTCCATCTCAGCTCCATCAGCAACCTGCTGAATCTTCAAATGGGTCCAGCACTGCCTAAAATGATGCTCTGATCCTGAGCTCTCTTGAACGTGGACAACATCCTCTTCCACTTAGTCCATCCAAGGAATAGCGCCCACTTATAAAGGAACTCTAGTGGAAACCAAGAAAGAAACAAATCAACCCTCGAAACAATGAAACACAAGAGTCTAGAAATGTTCCTGTTTACAAAGCCAATCATCTCCACCTGAGCTTTGGAATAAGCTAAGGTTTTGAATCCTATCCACGATACTAGCTTTATGATTTGGGGATGTTATTAGTCTCTATGGGCCTCAGTTTACTTGTCTCTGAAATAGGTATAATGGCAATATCTTCCATATGGAGTTGTGAAGATTACATGAGAAGGTATATGTACAGTGTTTATTTGCGGCATCCGAGTCGTAGTGAACTTCCATGAATGTTGGCATTTGGAAGAAGGAGGTTTGGTGCTGTGTTTGGATTGGACTCTGCTAGAGCCATCCTTTATGTCAAGCATCATAGGATCTGACAAGGGAATCCACTCCATATATGAAATGGTTGATTAATTCACCCAAGACAGGTGAGCTGATATAGAGAATGGTGGGTTAACAATCACAAGGCTGTTGGTTTCATTTATAATTTAGCTGAGCCAACTAGTTTCCCTGTGATGAACATATTCTTTAGCCTGAATGAACAAACACCATTTTCTGCCCTAAACATGCTTTATAAACTTTGTGTCTGTCATGTGTTTCATGGTTGAAGGTTGCATTCCTAGAAGGTTAAACAAAAACTAGGTCATTAAATGAATGATTTCAGGGGGAGTCTTGCTCCTTCTTGGTGTCCCTTGAAGAGAGGAGCTTTTGGACAACAAGAGTCCAAACCCACAAGATTGGAACATAAGCAAGATCTTCGCCCCGCTTGGGAGGCTCCATACCATGTTCTGGCCACAGGAATATAACTATTTTCTAATCTTCTCCTAAACTTCTGCAGACAAGTCATAAACAAGCCAAGAGCTTTGACGTCTCAAAAGCATTTTTCTCAACGAGGTTGTTTCTTCTCAATACTTCCTGTCAAATATCATTTTTGGTCTGCTGTCTTAATTTTGTCTAAGACTGAATCAGAGTTTTGGAGGCATCTACTTTTATCCCATAGCAATTGTTACTTGTATTATGAATTGTGGCCACAGCACCCATTTCTTCTCCCATTGGTGGATGTAAGTGGAGGGAAGGGTCCCAGCTTTGACAAGACATAACAGTGAGTGGAGAAACTTTACAAAGACCAGCTAGTCCTTGGGCTTCCTAATGGATGAAGGGGCCTGGTGTGATTTCCATTTCTTAGGTATTATGCTGTCTTAAAAAAGCAAATGAAGGATCGAGAATTCCCTGGCGGTCCAGTGGTTAAGACTCCACGCTTCCACTGCAGGGGTCCCAGGTTCCATCCCTGCTTGGGGAACTAAGATCCCACAAGCCACATGGTGTGGCAAAAAAAAACACAAAGAAACCAGAATCAATAATATTAGGGGAGGGATGAATTAGGGATTTGAGGTTAACAGATACATGCTACTATATATAAAATATACAACAAGGACCTACTATAGAGCACAGGGAACTATATTCTTTTTATATATTCTTTTTATATATGAATCACTTTGCTGTACACCTGAAACATTGTAAACGTCTATACTATACAAGTATACTTCAATAAAAAATTTTTTTAATTAAAAAAAACCCAACAATATTAGATTTTAAAGTTATGATGTACTTTAAATATTTACATTTATTAAATTAACAGTTTTAACACATATAAAAATATAAAGACTAGACATACCACCTCATCTGGAGATACTGTCAAACATCTCTATTTGAGGCCACTTGTGAATTTGAGGCCTCAGCTACATGATCATCATGACGTTGATACTGCATCAGAACGGGGGAGGAGATGGGTGTGGGCAGTGAAGAGCTCCAAGCCCACCCCTAAACTGAGGCTCGAGGTCGTTCCCACTTGCCATAGAAGGTGGGACGGAAGGCAGTGTTACTCATTAGAATGAGGAAGAAGGACAGAAGCCTTTGGATTGAGCAGAGGGAGGGTCTAGGAGTTATTTATGGGAATTATTCCTAGATGCAGCTGGCCAAAGAGACTTGAGGATTTATAAGTGGTCCAGTGGGGGTAAGTGGTGTTGTGTTGGCATTGAGCTGGTGGTGAGGAGTGTGGCTCAGCTCAGATATGAGGAAGACAGAAAGTAACAAGAAAGCTATCATTCAAACACACATGCCAGACCACTGAAACTTGGCCTTCCTTCTCTGAAAGATTGCACTGGATTGAGAGACCTGTTCTGTCTCCGACATGACCTTGCTGGGTGATTATAACCAGGTCCCTTCCCCTCTGTAAAGATTACACTAATAATGAGATAGCTAGTCTCTCCCCAAGAAAAACGTATCGAGCATCTACTCTGCGCCACACACTCGTATAATTTTTAAATCTCTTCTTCTGTCTTCCAAGCAGGAGGTCTATGCTTCTAAGCTTGGCATGTGTTCATCATGATAGAGGTGAAGAACTAGAGGTGCCAGGAAGTCTGGATGGATTTACACTAGAAAATCAAAATGCTGTTCAGGAGAGAAAAGAATTGATACAGAAATGGAGAGAGAGGAGGAGAAAATTCGGAGCCTGGTTGGGTTCTTATGAGTCTAAAATGAGGAACAGCTGTTGAACTATGTATACTTTTGAGAAGGAGATGGGGAAAAGAGGAACTTTTAAAATATTTGCCATGTGTCAAGTGATGGCATTCTCCTTTGCACTTCCGATGAACTTAGGTAAAGATGTAAATTGCTCGTGTCCTTTTGTGGGGCTTAGGGAGCCTGATGTAGGGCACTGTGCTGAGACTGGCCGTGAGGTGTCTCGACTTTTTCTGGGTTACAATAGTACGGCTGAAATGCATTCAGCACTTCCTGTGTCCCAGACTCTGTGCTGAGTGTGTAATGTATGTCATTTCATTTAATCCTCACCATAATCTTAGGAAGTAGAGTTCTGTTACTGTCCCAGTTTTGCAGATACGGCAACTGAGGTCCAGAATGGTTAAGTAACAAGACCATGGATTATCAAGTCTAGGCTCCTTTTTATTTCATTGGACTGTACACTTATATACAGTAGCCCTGTCTCCTGGTGCTGGCCTGTGCCAGGCCGTGTTTGGGCCGGGCCTGGGCCTCTGAGGGTCCGTCTGTTTAGCTCTGGGCTTGTTTCCTCCATAGACCAAGTGGCTTGTGCAGACCCAGAAATCTGCCAGAAGGTCTGTAGCAACCCCGCCGGCTGCTCTGACATCGCGTATCCCAAACTTGTACTGGAACTCCTGCCTACAGGTAATGGTCCCTTCACCCCTCAGTTGAGTCCCCCCGGGGCACCCAGAAAGGAGGACATTGGCTTGGGCTCTAATCTGAGGAGGGGGACAAGATGGGAGGGCTGTGGGAAAGAATGGCTCTGGGCTGAGGAACTAAGCCCCCAAATAAAGCTCCGGCTCTGGCTACGCAGGGGGCTCTGCCCCATCCACCCCTCTGAGTCCCTCCTGTTGGCTCCCACCCCTGAGTTCCGCCTCCTCCGAGTTGAACCTCTCGGGACCAGCTGGCTATGGGCCTGGGAAATGGGGTCAGCGGTGAAGGCAGAAAAAGCTTGAGGCCCAAAGACCTCCCTTCTGCCCCCAGGGCTCCGCGGGCTCATGATGGCTGTGATGGTGGCGGCGCTCATGTCCTCCCTCACCTCCATCTTTAACAGTGCCAGCACCATCTTCACCATGGACCTCTGGAATCATCTCCGGCCTCGGGCATCTGAGAAGGAGCTCATGATTGTGGGCAGGTAAAGTCTTACTGGGTTGGCGCCAGGCAGTGGTGTGAAAAGTCCAGATAACCCAGGGAGGAGAAAGCTGAGCCACCCAGAGGGAAAGTCCAGCCTTCGACTTCTCCAGGCTGTCTCAGCCTCCTCTGATGGCAAAGGTGAAGTACATCAGGGCTCCGTGGATGAGTAAGGCGTTCATTCATTCAAGAGCTATTCAGTGAGCACCTACTACGTGCCAGGTGCCGGGCATACAGCAGTGAAAAGAAAAGACTCAGTTTTGCCTTTGTGGAGCTAGAAGAAGAAAAGGATAAGGAAACAGGTAGTTATAACCACAGTGAATGTTATGATGGAGGAGCCGGGACACCTAGGGAGTCAGAGGAAAAGTCTTCAACTTGGACTGGGACCTGAGGGGTGAATAGGAGTTAGCCAGGTAAAAGGGAGAAGGGTGTTCTGGGGGCTGGGGGCAAGGTTTCTCTAACAAGTCTTGTGCAAAGTCCTGATATCTAATGGGGGGGATGAAAATGACCAAAGTGAGTGGCATGCACATTTTATGTAAAATATATGCTAATAAGCATCTTGGGACTCTGCCCCTCAAGAAGGTGTACCTAAGGGCTGTCTCAGCCTTGGGTTAGGGAGAGGTATGACATCAAAAGCATAATCCATTAAAAAAAAAAGAAAAAGAAATTAGACTTCATCAAAACCCAAAACTTTTTTGCTTCAAAAGACACCATTAAGAAGATGAGACGCCAAGCCACAGATTGGGAGAAAATATTTGCAAGCCATATATCTGACAAAGGACTTGTCATCTAGAATAATATAAAAAGTGAGATTGTAGTCCAGAAAGCTCCTGCAGGATACCACTACACACCCACTAGAGTGGCTATAATCAAAAAGGCAGACAGGAAGGCAGAGAAGTTGGAACTCTTGTGCATTGCATGTGGGGATGTAGAATGGTTCAACTGTTCAAAAGCAGTTTGGTATTTTCTTAAAAAGCTAAGTATAAACTCACCATGTGACCCAGCAATTGCATCCCTAGAAATAAAACCATCTGGCTGTACAAAGACTTGTATACAAATGTTCATAGCAGCATTTTTTACAATAGCCAAAAAGTAGAAACAATCCAAATGTCCACTGATGGGTGAAGGATAAACAATGGTACACAATGGCGTATCCACTCAATGGAATATTTTTCAACAACAAAAAGGAATGAAAGATTGATACATGATATGTGATGAACCTCATGCTAAGACATGCTAAGTGAAAGAAGCCAACTGCAAAAGACCACATATTGTATGATACCATTTACTTGAAACGTCCAGAAAAGGCAAACCTATAGAGACAGAAGTAGATAAGTGCTTATTTAGGGTGGGAACAAGAATAAGTTGTAAATGGGCATGGGGGGACTTTTCGGAGTGATGGAAGTTCTAAAACTTGATTGTGGTGTTGGTTGCACCACTCTATAAACTTACTAAAAGTTACTGGATTCACACTTATAATGGGTGAATCTTAGGGCATATAAATTCTACCTCCGAAAAGCTATAAAAAAGAGAGAGAAGTGTTCAGGGGAGATAAAACACTAATGGGGGGGGGTCTCTCTCCATCCGGCACCAGGGTGTTTGTGTTGCTGCTGGTATTGGTCTCCATCCTCTGGATCCCTGTGGTCCAGGCCAGCCAGGGTGGCCAACTCTTCATCTACATCCAGTCCATCAGCTCCTACCTGCAGCCTCCCGTGGCTGTGGTCTTCATCATGGGATGTTTCTGGAAGCGGACCAACGAAAAGGTAGCCCTGGATCAGCCCTTCAGCCCATCGGATGGGAGAGAAGGGGACTGGAGAGGGACATGAGGATATCAGGTGTCATTAGGGAGGATGAGTTCTGTGCGGGAAGATACAGGGAGGGTGTTAGCTGGCTTTTGAAAAAAAGCAATGAGGGTTCTATTTTGATGCATTTTGTCCTTAAACAGGGAAGCTGAATTAACAGGGAATTATATGTCATTGATTAATTCTATGTAAAAGATAAACAGATAAGTATCTCCAGCCCTTTTCGAATCACTGACCCCTGCTGTGACCGTCGCTAGAAAGCCACGCTCTTGAGGGGGCTTGCTGAGGTTTCCGGAGGCCTGTGCCGGACGCCCCACAGCCCTGCCCGTGTCTAAGACGGCCTTGCTCTGATTCACAGGGCGCCTTCTTCGGTCTCATCTTGGGCCTTCTCCTAGGCTTGGTTCGTCTCGTTCTGGACTTCATTTACGTGCAGCCTCGGTGTGACCAGCCAGATGAGCGGCCAGCTGTGGTAAAGGATGTCCACTACCTCTACTTCTCCATGATTCTGTCCTCCGTCACCCTGATCACTGTGTCCGTCGTAAGCTGGTTCACAGAGCCGCCCTCCAAGGAGATGGTACTTTTGGGTTTGACACTGTATCTATTGAGACCCTTCACTGCTAGTGACAGAAAACCCAATTGACTTCAGTGAAGAGGACTGATTGTTCAAAAAGCTGAAAAGTCCAGGGCTGGGTCTTGGGAAGAATTTGATTTCAGGACACTGAAAAGACCATCAGAATTCATCTCTCACCTCTCCTTCTGTTCTCAGGCCCCTTGTGGGCCCAGCAGCTTTTAGGGATACATCCTCTCTTATTCTCATTAAGCAAAAGCATAAGCGTTTTTGTCCCAGCATTTCCAGTGAAGTTCCTGATGCCCGTTGATGGAGTCAGCTCAAGACACATGATCACCCATGAACCAACTTACTCCCCGTGACCAGAGACATGGATGAGCTGCATGCTGATCACAGGGTTCCCCCCACACCCACGGGCTAGGGTTAAGCTCTGGGGACTAGAATGAGGAAGGGTGAGATCCCCACTGGAGAATTAGGGCTGTCCAAGAAAGATGGGGGACTGGGTGGGGAAAATGTCCATTGATTCTGAAGAGCGCTGGGAGCTGAAGCTTTCTGGAGGGTGGAGTGAGAGGGCAAGACTGGGAGAGACTCGGGTGTGAAGGCTGAGCTTGGGGTTGGAAGGCGGTGGGAGAAAGGGATGAAAGTCACCGCTCCACCCCCATCTCACAGTTCATCTCTGCTCCATAGGTCAGTCGCTTGACCTGGTTTACTCGCCATGACCCCATGGTTCAGAAGGAACAGGTGCCACCAGCAACTCCCCCGCCTCTTACCCTCTCTCAGAACAGGACACCAGAGGCCAGCAGAACCAACGTCCAGTTCGAGATTGTCCAAGAAAACATGCCCCAAAACCACAGCTGTGAGTTGCTTTGCTCTTCAGTTACAGTAGGAACCTCAAGAAGCATCATATAATTAAGGGGAAATTTTTCTACCAAATCACAAGCCAGAAAATGGGCACACTTGGAATTTTAGCATTGCCTGACTCCCAGGGTCTGGTCCTCCCTCACTCTCTGGCCACTGGAAGGGTTAGTAACTTTCAACAGATGCCTCAGGTGGAAAATTAGAGCCAGTGTTTGTTGAGTGCCTACTAAAACATGGTTCATTTGATCCTCCCAAAACCCCATGTGGTAGGCTGGGGTACTGCTGGCATTCTCTAAATGACTGGTTTTAAACTGGCAGCTTGCAGGCATATTTTGCTTTATTTTAGCTCACCTACTCTTTTAATAAAATGTGAGTTAACATTTAAAAATTGTGATATTTCACATAAAATTCCAGATTTCCATCTTCTCTTGAAAAACTGGAATATCTGGCAACATGGAGCCCATATGTCTGCATGGCAAAAGTTGTCTGGAGCTGCAAAGCAGCTGTTCCTTAGACCTGGAATATACAGTTAGCCAGGGTCCCCGCCAGTCCCTACTGTCTCCATGACCCAAGGCTGTGGTTGTCATTAATCATCATACATGGCTTTAAAAAAATAATAATTGTGGACATGAACCCATGTCATCCTACCGTGGGAAACTCAAGGATAGATCCAGAAGGCCATGTGTTTCAAGAAAGATGAGAGAATCTTTCTTGGTAGAGGTGACGTGTTTAATAAGAAAATCAGCTCCCCTGACTCCCACACGTCACCCGCCTGGCTCCACCCGCAGCTGATTTTGCAGACCCAGCTCTGAATGGGGAAGGAGAGTTCCCTGCATGAGTGCACATCTCTCTTCAGCCTCCTGGCAGGCGATGCAATACAGGGAGGAAGTCAGATAGAACAGGTCCTAAACCCACCTCTGCCTCTGCTAACCAGCTGTGTGCTTTGCTCAAGTTAGGCTGAGTATCTTTTCATCTGAAATTCTGCACCTGAAGATGGTGAAACGTCTCAAAATACCAATCTGCTAGAACTAAAGAGTCTTCCAGAATCAAAGTCTTAATGAATACCTTCCAGAAAAGGAACATAAAGTATTTATCACAGTGCGTGGGACACACCCGGTCTCTCTTCTCTCTTGCCTGGGAGACACAGCCCATCCTTATGACCCTTATTTGCTGGGTTCTTTTTAGGTGACATGACCAAAAAGCAGTCCAAAGTGGTGAAAGCCATGTTGTGGCTCTGTGGGGTGGAGAACAAGGGCAAGGAGGAGATGCCGAGCACAACAGACCCTGTCATAGTTTCCCTGGATGAAAACCCCTTGGTGAAAACCCTTCTGGACGTCAACCTCTTCATCTGTGTCAGCTGTGCCATCTTTCTCTGGGGCTACTTTGCTTAACATGGGGGTGAACCCAGGGGTCCAAGCTCTCAGTTTGCTATCAATGCCCCAATTTTTTAATGAAGGAAAAAAATAATAAAGCCTTGTTTGTTTACCACCAGGCTTCAAAGGTGTCTATGGGCCACTTTCAACATGACATTTAGTTAGTCCTGTTCTTAAAGGGGCTTCCCTGGTGGCACAGTGGTTGAGAGTCCGCCTGCCGATGCAGGGGACACGGGTTCGTGCCCCAGTCCGGGAGGATCCCACGTGCCGCGGAGCTGCTGGGCCCGTGAGCCATGGCCGCTGAGCCTGAGCGTCCAGAGCCTGTGCTCTGCAACGGGAGAGGCCACAACAGTGAGAGGCCCGTGTACTGCAAAAAAATAAAAAGGGGAATGAAGGCTAGAAGCTGGAAAAAGAGAGAGGCATAAAGGCTTCTTTGTCTCAAAAGGCCAGTTATTCACTCTTCCTGTCCATCATGTAACATTAATAGCCAAATTCAAAGGGTTGGACAAGCGAAGAGATGCCCAGCCCCCTGGTAGCCACATACCCTGGGCTGACTGTTAGCGCTTGAACTCTCTCCAGCTCACCTTCCAAGCACAGGGAATGGCAACCGCATTCTATCTCCCGACTTTCACTGTTGCTGGCTTTGGGTGAAGGAATAGTTGGTGCCCAAAGACTTTCTCATTGTGAAACTTGCCCCTCACTATGATGTCTGGGAAATAGACCCGAGTTGGTGCCCTGGAATCTTGTGCCATAAAAAAATCAGGGAATTGTGTGCACGTCCCAAGCTCTGCCTTAGCCTGGGTTTCTTTGCTTGATTCTCCACAATGATGCTTCCCTAAAACAAGTAGCCAGGATGGGCAACTCCACAATAAATCGTTACTGGACGAGGGGTAATAGGGCTTTTGACCTGAAGAACAGCCACGCCTGTTCTGTGGAGAGTCAGGCATCCTAATTATTCTGGGCCCCAGTGGGGTCTGATGGGATGACCTGTAGGGGCTGTGTGTGCCACACGCACAGCTAAGAGCAGGGGCGGGACAGCCAACAGAGTTGGTTAGCCCTGAGACCAACTCTGGGGCGGCCCAGGGCCATGAGATAGTACCCTAGTCCTGGGGTTAAGGGGGCTGGGGGGCGGGATGGGTTAGAACCACTCACTGGCTTAGCAACTAGAGAATGAGTAGTTTCTCAAGGAAGCCCAGTTTCCAAGGAGCATGGACAGGAAGCCCTGGGGCTGAGGAGTCACTGGTTCATGGAGTCACTCATGACATCTTTTGAGTTTCTACTCGATGCCCTCAACACCTGGACCAGCCTTGTCCAAAGGTAAACGCATTAGCTCGACACCTATCCTAGTCAGAGGCCTGGCTTTTCCACACGGATCCAGATGACAGCTGTGGCTTGGACAAAGGCCCCTTGGCCCTCCCAGGAAAGGGCCCCTATGGAGAGCTGTTTGCTAATGTGCCTGCTATCCAGACCCTGTAACTGGCTCTGCAAGAGGTTGAGCTTCTGTCTGGGGCAAGTGGGCTCAAGGGGAGGCTGAGTGACCCTCTCAAGGGCCAAAGGAGGGGAGTGGGAGGCCCAGAAGGCTTCCCCAAATTGTCCCTCAGCCAGGCCTGCCCCCCAGCCCCCTGCCATGCCGAGACCTCTGCTGCCACAGGTTGGGGTCAGAAGTGCGTTTTGGTGGGAGCTGTCACTGTGGTAGCTTAGGCCACTGCCACCTCTCCCCTGGATCGCTGCCACCAGTGTCCCGACTGGCCTTCCTGCCTCTGATCTTGCACATTCTCCAGCTCCAGGCGAGAGAGCAAATCTGATCAAGCCACTCCTCTGCTTGCTCCCAGGATCAGGTGCACACACCTGGATGGGAATTTCCAGACCCCTGACAGCCAGGCCTCTTCTCAGCTTCGACTCTGATTGCTCTCCCTTCACAGTCTAGGGTCAGACCACACTCATGCTGTCCCACCTGCGGGCCTAACACAGTGGCTGACACCCAGTGAGCCCCATAAATATCCAGTAAGTAGGTCTTTGCTTCTGCTCTTCCCTCCGCCTAAACGATCCCCCCCTTCCTTTCCTGGCTACCTCTTATTCTAGTCACTGCTTAAACATCACTTCTTCCAGGAAGACTTCCTTGGTCATCCCACACCCACTATGACATGCATCTTCAAAGCAGGTATCACACTTTATTACTGATTGCTTAAGCATCTTCCCAACTAGAGAGAAAGTTCCACGAGGGCAGAAGGCATGGCTTACACTGATGCCTAGCACAGCCTGGTGAATGGATGACCTCCAGAACACAGATGTCTGGCTCCTTGTCTCATATCCTCCAGCCACACCCCCTCCCTGGCCTGGCTGCCCACCCCTGCCCAGGAACACCCACTGTTCCTGCATCAAGTCAGTCCTTGAGGTCTGAGCTCGTGGAGGTGACTGAATGGCTGACTCATCACCCATCCTCTGCCCTCTGGAAACTGTGCAACTTCCAAACCCTCCTTGACCACAGACGATGGTCTCTAGGGCTGCCCATAGGACCCGCTCTCACCTTTGGGAAAGGCCCCCATCAGTCACCACGTCACGCTGGCTCTGTCTCCCTAACCTTGTGCTCGTGGGCTCACTGCCTCTGCCTTATCGGGGCCCCACTGGCTCCTCTCTCGGGGATGTCCTGCTGCTACCTTGCCCCCGCTTCAGTCCATTTTCTGCATTGCAGCCACGAGGACCTAAAGTCCAAATCCGACAGTCACTCCCCTCCTGTGTCTGCAGCTCCCTTTGATGACTCCAAACATGAGTTATAAGGATCTTCACACTCCAGCTCCTGCTTCCCTCACCAGCCTCACTCCTTGCCCGTTGCCCGCTTCCCCTAATTCCATGCTGTCGCTCACCTCACAAGCCATTCCTAGCATCTGGAGGGCCCACCTCCCCCCTCCTTTCTCCACCAAGGTGGGCCTTCCTCCCACGTACTTCCACGGCTCCCCCACTCCGCAATCTCTATCTGTTTCCTGCGTACTTGTTTGCAAGCTTCCTGGGGGCCGAGGCCACAGTTGTATGGTTCACGTTGGTTCCCCAGGGTCTAGGCCAGTATTCCCCTGGAGGAGACACAGAAGTATTTAGAAGCCATGGGTTCAATTCTAAGCATCCTTGTATGAAAGCAAGAATGCTGTTTCTACCATGAAATGATGTGAAAAAAAAATTTTGGTCATCAAATATAATTTATTGATGTGCATGAAAACTGAATTCAAATACAAATATAGAGGGTAAAAACAGAACCCTGGTGAATTGTTTTGGTTCTTCCAAAAATATATTTGGCTCAAGTATACCCTGACGTGTCATTTGTAATGACATTTTGATGTGTGTGGCAGACAGACCCCAAGGTGACCCTCAGTGACCCCCCACCTCCTGGTGTTCATGCCCTTGTATAATCCCCTCCCCTTGAGTGTGGACAGAACCTGCAACTGACTTCTAACCAATACAATACGGCAGAGGTGATGAGATGTCATCTGTAATTGTATTACAGCATGTAGACTCTGTCTTGCTAGCAAACTCACTCTAGGGGCTGTCCTTGCTGGCTTGCCGAAGTAGCAGCCTTCCCAGGGAAGCCCACGTGACCAGGGACTGCAGGCAGCCTCTAGGAGCTGAGGGCAACCCCTCAATGATGGCAAGAAGTCCTGGGCCTCAGAACAAGCATAAGCACATGACTTCTGACAACATCCTGAGGGAGCTTAGGAGTGGGTCCTTCCCCAGTTGGACCTCCAGACGGGACCCCAGCCCTGGCTGACCCTTGACTGCAGTCTTGTGAGACCCAAGGACAGGACCCAGCTAAGCTGTGCCTGGACTCCTGACCCACAGAAACTATGAGATAATAAATGTGTTTGTGTTTGTGTGGGTTTTTTTTTTGGCTGCAACACATGGCTTGTGGAATCTTAGTTCCCCGACCAGGGATTGAACCCGGGTCCTGGCAGTGAGAGCATCGAGTCCTAACCACTGGGCCACCAGGGAATTTCCATGACCACTTTTTGCCTTTTGGTTGCATTGGAGCCAGTGGCTTCACTATGCCAGCAGATCTTTCTTTACCCTCAGCTCCATCACTACGATATTAGAAAAGTGGAAGCCATTGGTCTAGAAATATCTGTCAATGGGGTGCTGCCCAGTCTGACGCAAGACCTCTAGACTATGAGGCACAGAGCCCACTTGAGACCCTGGAGTAAAGAGATGGTAGAGTGGCATCTGTGAGAAGAGGGCGAAGGCTCCGGAATATGGTTACACACCACCAGGCTCATGGCGCAGGTGGCAGAATGGTGGCAACAGACCACAGGTAGAGAACCTAGAAAGAGGGTTTGTCTTAAGACTTTCAAGTAAGAGCACTTATGGGACTCACTGGGCTCAGGACAGCACTTGGAGCTGGAGCCCCAAGAGTGGGACAAGGGTCCCCAAGGGAACCAAGGTCATCAAGGAGGTGCAGGGATTCAGTCATTCCAATTGCATCTGAACGCTTGGGAATCCACAGGTAATCCAGCACAATCATGGCAGCCAGGGGGATGCCCCGACCCCCTGCAGTCTCCGAAGTGCTGGATCAAGATCAGGCTAGATGGGTGTTGCTTGCAAGGGGTGTGTGGTGAGAGGCACATGTCCCCGACCCTGGTGTAGCTGTGGGTTGGAGAGCAGGAACAGAAGGCCTGAGTACACAGGACTGAAGTTTCCAGGAGAAACTGTTCTCTGGAGAAGAGAAGGAAGCAATCTGAAGGGGCAGATACCAGCAGCATCTTCCTAGAGGCCAGCACCTTCCTGGATGGTCAGGGATGGCCACATGAGTTTGGATTACAGACTTCTCGGGAAATCCCTGGTGGTCCAGGGGTTAGGACTCCACTTTCACTGAGGGGGGGGCCCAGGTTCTAACCCTGGTCGGGGAACTAAGATCCTGCAAGCTGCGAGGCAAAAATAAATACATAAGTAAATTTAAAGAATTAGATTACAGAGCTGTCTACCTCTCTCCCGCGTGTAGTGCCAGGGCGAGGTGACAGCGACGTGGCGCCTCCCCTGGCAGAGGTGATCACATCTCTGCAGCACCTTGGAGGTGCTTCCGCCATGGTGCAATTACAACTGAGCCGCCACGACCCACACTATGGCTCGCCCATC